TAGTAAAGGACTTATTTCAGAGATCAGAAAGAAAATGTCTGAGCGAAGTGTAGAACTTATGAGCAAGAGTGAATCTCTATCGGTATGAAAAAAAAAGTTTAAGAAAGAGTTTTGAGTTTAATAATATTTCAGGAAAATGTACTTAAACAGTCAAAATCTTCCAAAGTTAGATTACAGGTTGCACCAGCATCTCAATAAGAACTGGTTATTTCTTCAGTATATATGGTTGTTTTTTCGTTTACAATAATTGTGATGCTATCAAAAGTCGTTCTATGAAGCGAGGTAGAAACGTAGAACATCTTAGTGACAACTGAGATTGTCAAATTTATTTTTGTAGTATGTACTTCTGACATGAGTCAGCGATATGCGATCTGTATGGGAAAATACCAAAAACATCTCATTTAAAAATGTTTTGAGGAGTTTTCTAGAATAATTCAACTTGTATTTTAATTTTTATAAGTAATCTTTTGACATCTTGTTTTAATATACGCACTGCCATGCGTCCCTAATCCTTGTCTTCAAAATTACTAAAGCAAAAATCGTTTTCATCGCTGCTATCGTCGGTTATAATAAGTTCATTAACGATTACATCTAAACGATTTTTCCTTTATTTGCGATCACCCGATTGCAAACTCTTGCAAAATGACAGCTAAGAAAAGGTACGAAGCCGAACGCCTATTCGGCTATTAAACTTTGTACATCATTATAGCACAAAAGTAATTAATTGTTTCCGTTTAGATGTTTTTTATTTCCAAATATTGTCACTCCATTCGCCTATATTTTTCGTATAATGTTTAGATAATTACCCTAAAATCGATCACCCCCATAAATGTCTTATATAGTAACACAGAAAACCTTTTAAATTATTACACGTAATCTTCTTCTTGTCAAAAAAGCTCAAGGCTAAATAAAATTGCTCAAAAACAAGGTAAAATATTCAAATGTTTACTGTTCCGATCTTAATCAATCTTCAACAAATTCACTCTTTTGTCATGTCCGAATCAAGGAACACCACAGCCGCTACACCATGGCTATACGATATCGATCCCGAAGACACCAACTGGATCATAACAAGTTCTTTTATGATTTTCACAATGCAAACAGGTATGAACTTTCAACATTCCTTCCTGCAACAACAATAACTTTTTTTTCAGGTTTTGGCATGCTGGAGTCCGGTTGCGTATCGATCAAGAATGAAGTCAATATAATGATGAAAAATGTAGTCGACATAGTCTTAGGGGGTCTTACTTATTGGATCTTCGGTTTCGGGTTGTCTTTCGGACGCAGCCCCCTCAGCAACGGTTTCATCGCTTTCGGCGACTTCTTCACAGACCCCGTTCTTAAAGATCCCTTAAAAGGGGCCATTTATGCCGCTTTTATTTTTCAATTGTCTTTTGCCACTACCGCCACCACCATAGTCAGCGGGGCTATGGCCGAAAGGTGCAATTTCAAAGCCTATTGCATTTTTAGTTTTCTCAATACTGCCATCTACTGCATTCCTGCGGGGTGGATGTGGGGGGATCAAGGCTTTTTGAAAAAAATGGGAGCTGTTGATATTGCAGGTTCGGGGGCTGTTCATTTAATTGGAGGGAGTTCGGCAATGGCCAGTGCTCTTATGTTGGGGCCACGACTTGGCCGGTACGACAATGGAATTAAATCACTCCCATTGGGGAATCCCGTTAATGCAGTTATGGGACTATTTGTACTTTGGTGGGGATGGCTAGCCTTCAATTCTGGAAGTACTTATGGGGTATATTTAATTTTGTTTTTATTATGACTAAAATTACTATTTTGGGAAGCTGAGTGGTGAAAAATGGCATTATGCAGCAAGAGCGGCTGTTATGACAATGATTTCGTCATTTGGAGGAGGCACTACCAGCCTGCTGTATTCACTAATTAGACAAAAAGGGCTCATTGATGCTATTGACATAATTAATGGTATTTTGGGGTCGCTAGTAGCCGTAACTGCCGGCTGTTTTTTGTATCAAGCATGGGAAGCTTTAGTAATTGGTGCTGTGGGAGCGCTACTAGCGTGTGGTTTTATGCCACTCTTCGATTTGGTGCGTCCACAAAGATGTTTTTGTTTTATTTGACTTAAAAATTTTAGATGGGGATTGACGATCCAGTGGGTGCTAGTGCTGTCCATGGGATTGGGGGCATTTGGGGGGTTTTAGCTGTAGGGCTTTTCGCCGACGATCCTTTTCCTTTAGACACAACAAGTGGCAGGCGCGGTTTATTTAAAGGTACAAATCACCTAACTTGGGCAATATTGTAAATTCTTTTTAGGGGGCGGTTGGTACCTGTTGGGTGTTCAAAGTCTGGCTTGCGTTTGCTTAACCTGCTGGGGCATCGTCAGTTCTGTTATCCTTCTCTGGTTTATAAATAAGATCGTGACGATTCGAATGGAAGTCCATGCTGAGCTTTTAGGAGCTGACTTGACTGAACATTCTGTTAAACATGGGAATGTAAATGTTAATAGATATTTTATCTGAATATGAATAATTTAATTTTGAAATTCTGACCTTCCAGGTGGGCGTATCGAGAGCAATTTCTGTTTTGGGTCCGGTTCTGGATTCAGAGGATGTTCGTCGAATTGATAATATTGGGATGAATCCTATGCATGAGAGAAATATTAATTTGGTTAAAAATTTATCGAGAAAAAAACGATACAAATTTTCCAAGATCTTGAGAGACATAACCAGAAACAGGAATTTGGGAATTAATTTGGCCAAGAATTTATTACCCAAGAAGGCGAGAAAAAAATCTGCGCCGAAGGAAACAGACTTAGGTGATAGGAGTGATAATCCGGGTCCGGGACCATCTCAGATGGCTTGGATCAACTAAAAATTTTAATGAAACAGTTGTTTATGAAAAATGGCACATAGTATATTATGTACGTATTGTATATTACATTGATATTCATTTTATACCGTATTCTAACTGTATATCTTAAGTTTACTTTTTCATCACGCTGTATTTTATTCATATATACTTTTTTATATACTTAAAAACACATCCGCTTTAAACGTTTATACATGTCAAGGTAAGCTTTACAAATCGTCTAATCGTTTAAGAGCCAAATCTCAAGAATAACATGTTGTCCACTAACTAAAAAAATATATATATCATTATCAAACGTCTAAACAATTTGTGTAATTGTAGACAACAATGTTAATGATTAAGATTCGCTTTACAAAATATTTAGAATACAAAAACAAAAAAAATTAGTTGCACCAATATTGAAAATTGAGCCAAAATAGAAGATGAATGATTGTGTTTATATGCACGGCTGCCGCGATTAATGTCTTCCATTTGCTGCCTAATAAATAATAGTACAAAATGGCTGCCAGTGGAATGAAAAATATACTATGCCATTACGAATTATTGCAAAAAATTTACAATGACGCTAAATCCTGATTGCATTGCAACAATAAACTGTCGGTTGAACTCTATCGGAATTCAAACTGAGCTTTTTTTTAACAATAAAAACAAATATAAATAAAAATTCACTAAAAAGCTAAAAGAGAAACAATGCAAAAATTACATCTTTACCTTAAAATAAAATATACCTAATAAAAATTATAGTTAAATATTACATAAAACTTAAAATTAAAAATAATGAACAAAAATGTATTGATATATCTGGTTATAGTTTGAACACCAAACTAAATTTTAAAGTTGCACTAAGTTTAGTAGAATAATTAAAAAAATCTACCGCTCAAATAATAAAATATATAAGATATAAAAAAATAGTTCAGTGAATAAACAGACCGTTTAATATTAAATAAGTAATATCTTAAGTTATGTTCATTTCTCAATGGCATATATTTAAGAGAGCACCGGAAACCTCTCCCCCTTTTCGTAATACGTAAGTTAAATTTTATATTGCATATCAAAATACTGGAGAAAAGTCACCGGCCACACTAATGAACACTTATTTACAGTTTGTGACGAGAAGACGACTTCTCATAAAAATTCTATAAGTCATAATTTTCAAAATACTGGCGCATGTATCAATTTCGTCGACGCACGATCGGAGTACGGATTGAATTTTTCTCGCTTTTATCAAAAAGCGAAAAAAATTTAAAACGAATGGCACAATTTTGCTACGAACTACGAAAATATGTCACAAAAATCATGGCTAAAAGAGATCAAAAACGTACGTATGTGTTTCACGGTAAGAGTATTGTGTTTCTTTATTTGGCACACACAAAATTGTTCGACATGAAAAAAAATATAGGAAATACTTCTCCGGTCGTGCGTCAAAACGCTCATCAAACATCTCTTTTTTCCATCTCAGTAAGTGAAAAGTAATTTGTAAAACAATAAAATACGTTATTGTATCACTACAGAACATTCTTAAAAAAATATAATATAGTTTGTTGCATGATCATTGATGAACAAATGATGAGAGCCGTTTGTACGAAAAGTTATGTACAGGTGGCAGACCTGCCTTTTTAGCACTGCTATTGTGGCTGGCCCGGATTGTGAGGCAAGTTGGCAGGAGCACCCTGGAACAAAAACAACTTTCCGAAACATCCAACTGTAACCAAATTTACATGCAATCATTTATTTTCAAAGTATAAAACTAATCGTTTAACAATTTTTGTAAACGTTCATTAAAACAACTCCATTAAATAATCATTCAATTTGTTTTATTTAGAAATACTTCAGTATTACGAGAAATAAATGATCTCATGCGGTTATCAATGTAACATAGCTTTGTCACAACTTTTCATAAATATCATTTTGTGAATTGACTTACCGGTAAGGTGGGGTAATGTTGGGCAGTAAGCATATGATGCGGCCCTGGCCCTAATTTAGGGCCATCTTCTGCCTTTTCTTCCTCTCGTCGTTTTAGACATGCTGCTTTAGGATTCAAATTCCTCTCTGTTCAAATGCAAAACGTAAATAAAAACGAATAAAATATGCGAAATTATTACCTCTAACTTGCTGTTCTAAAGTCATAATGACTTCGACCGCCATATTTAAAATACCAAGCTTCGTTTGTGGTTTATCTGTCTTTAGGTGCGCCATGCACATCCTTCCCAGTTCTTTTAAAGCTTCGTTAATATCACGAATACGTATCCTACAATTAACATACTCAATACCGAAAAAGTAAAAACAATTTGATTTTGAATTCAATGAAACACAGAAAATGAATATAGGCCAAAATACACTCATGTTTAAATTAATCTGATCCACACCTTTCTCTAGCGTTATTGGCTTGCCTCCTCTCTTTCTCCCTTTGCGCTTTAATATCGGGATCTAGTTCACCCTCTTCCGTTTCGTCCGCACTGGAACAACTATGAAATTCTTACAACAAAGGTACGAGAAGAGAAATTATCGTTAAAGCCTAATCAAATTCATAAAAACACACCGAATTCAGTATGTAACTAGACACACTCTTTTGGGGTATATCAAGGCCCATATTCATGTGTTTCTGTAAAACAATATAAATCAATAATAAAAACGATTAAAAAACATTAAAACAACTACACATGCTGGCCAAATTCTTAACCACGAATGTTACGTCACTGTTCACTGTCTAAACGTAACATTTGTTTTTCTGAATGTGGGCCTTTATAATATTAGAATTGGTGGAGAAAGTGTGAGGACGAGAATCAGGGAATGGCTCTGCACTCCCGATCAAATCGGTAAGCACAATTTCTGTAATATCGACCACAGCAAGAAGAAAAGAAAGGATGTTAGGAAACGTGTGTCTATTTTTACATACCGTTCACGAACATTGTTGGCCTGCCTACGCTCTTTCTCGCGTACGGCCTTGTTGCTTGGATCATCAATTTCATCTTCGTCACCATTACTTGAACAACTAATTAGTAATAAAATGATTAAGTCATGGCGAAACGATTCGCACAAGACTCGATCTCAACACAAATTGAAATTTTTGCCTCAAAAAACCCTAAACAAATTAAAAAAAAAAACAACTTACTATCTCCTAGACCTTTTTGTCGTTTTTGGTGGAGGCCCACTGGTAGAATTTGGTTGTACTATCGTTTCTACTGAACTGGATGGTTTTGTGTCGCTATCTGGAGGCTCTTTGCGTTTTTCTGCAAATATACGACAAGTAATAGCCACATAACCAGTGTGTATAAATTTTGTAATGCATTTAGATCACTAACTGTGCGATTAGTTTACCAAAGGCACAAAACTAAGACGTACTTGTATTGTATGTCGCTCTTTCTACTTTAACTGTATCGGGTATGTGTGGTTCCGACGCCGCCGCTGTGTAGCCCAGTGTCGTCATCTGGTGTTGTGTAAGATTGGGTGGAAGCTGCCCTATAATTTGGGGTTCCGCGTGATTACGCAACACGTTAATCGCGTCGTCCAGTCTTTCTTCCATACGTGTTCCCTGAAATAAAACCCCATTTCACAATGCATTCGTCATAGAACGCTGGTACTTTTAGCATGCATTTATAAATTAAAAAAAAATCAAACTAATACACTACGAAAAAAAAAAAATTACTTACATTTACTTCCGCGTGGTCTCTTAAAAAGCCAATTGCATCATCTAAGCGTTGCGCTTCGGGGGCGGGAGGCTTCACACAAAAACAAAAAAAAACACCATGCAAACACAAAACAACGAAAAAACAAAACTACCAAAAAAATACAAGATGTACCCTTGATGGTGAATTGTTATTATCGAGTGTACATCAACGTTCAATCAACCATTTCTTTTTTTGTATATAAAGCAGAGCACTAGTTATTAAAAATTCATTCATCTGTGATGCTTGAAAGTGCAAAAAAAAATTAAAAAATCCATTTCTTTCAGTAAATACATTCGCGTGCAATAAATCTTTTCCAAATAAGACTATATTTTTATATTATGCAAGAAAAAACTAAACGGATAAATAAAATAACACAATTAGAAGTTAATTAAAACTAATATGGTGTTACGAGTCGTATTTGACATAATTGGATATTCGCCTTTCACTTCTGTTTCCATTGTTCTTGCTACTGTCATTTTAAAACCACCAATCGAATACTGTAAAAATCACACTAGTGCAATGTGAAACTGACCAGTTACTTTGTCTTTAAGTTTATCCAAAACAATAGTAACAATTATACATCGCCAATTGTGGCAGCAATTTTTTTCCAACTTTCAAACATCATTACAAAACATTCCTCCCCTCCTTCCTTCACTCACCATATGTAAACCCTGAGGTGCAGCACTATTATTCACATTAACCGATTGTGTATAATGGGGCGAATGTGGAGTGTTATGATTAGCTAACCAGCTAGATGGCGCTAATGGAGGTGGCGAACTAACCGGCGTCGACGGGGCCGAACTATAACTACTAGCGCTAGCTTGTTCCACTATTGGATAAATCTGAAAAAAATGTGTTTTTTTGCGTTCGTGTTACTTTCCTCCAATCACTCACTGTTCCTAAAGCTTTATTCACACCGTCTGTGTGATTCGCCGGACCGAAAGTCGAACTGTTCGTACCGGACATGGTGGTTACGGCGGTACCGTTCGGCCTTAGCGAAGACATTGGGGGCAGACCTTGACCTTCTGTTTCAGGGATGAGACCGTACGCTTCGTACGTTTGGTACGCGCTGGTGGTGTACGACGGGTGCCATTCCCCGGGTGTGGCATCTGCGCCTAGGTAGTAACCCGTTGATGGGTTCGGCGAGGTGTAGCGGGGCGAGTCGTTGAATTCATCCGAGCCGTACTGAAACAAACAAAAAAGTTTTTAACAAAGAAGTACAATAAATTATAAAAACTACACATTAACGATCATATTATTTTACAATTGTTCATCCAGGAAGGGTGGAGATGTACTACAATTTTTTATTCTTATAATTTTTGTGACACAATAAGCACTATTGAGACTTTTATTGACCATAAAAGTTTTGTTTTGGTCCGATTTGAGAATTTTATTGTGTCCGATCTATTTTGCATTTGGAAAATTTATTATCTAGGGGCGATTTTAACTGACCATTCAGCATATTTCGCCAATATATTCTTCAACGGACGCGTGTTTTATATCTCCATTTTTCGCCACATCATCGTTTATGTCTTTATTTAGATCGATGTCTCTTGATTGTTATTCACAAGAATTCTAACTTTTGAAATGTAATGAAATTCGAGAAGAAAATTAACTTTTGCATCATAAAGGAGAGTGTATAATTTTTCAATCTATATTCCATTATTATTTAATTGGTAGAGTTTCCACGTCGATCATCGAGTGAGATACCTGGACGATGACGTGGGAATGTGACATAAATAGTAATGTCAGATTTGAACTTATCCAAGTCTTTTATTATTCATTTAATGATTGTTTTTCCGAGATAATTTGCACGAAACCTGAATTGATTTCAACACTAACTTTTCCCTCAAATCTTTATGCATTTTTGTTCCATTCTATTAGTGTTACGCATTATAATGCATTACATACGTAATCCTACTTGTAAATTTATTCATTAAAAAATCTTATTTTTTAATACATATAATTGTTTATTTTTATGCACTCATTGATACATACATTCTTCTTGCTAACAAGCCACAATAAATTTGTCAAGTCATTTGACTTGCAGCGTGAAAAAATGGGAAATAATGTAATTGCAAATAAATTTGAACAAATTCTCTTACGCCAGAACTTAATAGTTCTATTTTATCATACGAATTACAAAAACCCGACATGTACATTTGGTTGTCGGAAAATGTTAAAGCATAAAAATGTCAGATTTTTATATTTATCCATAGTGTGAACATGGCTTAATTCTAAAAGGTTAAGTTAGAAACTGGGAGTTAATCTGTAGTATTCAATACACATTAGGTAGGTCAACTAATTGATTATCTTGATTTGCATTTGATGTTCTCGGCATTTAGTGCGGCATTGCAGAAAAAATTAGTTGAATGATGACAAACTGACAACTAAATTGACAAAGGCAAAACCTGTTTCATACTAAAGAAAATTCAATTTTCCGTTTTTATTGCAACCAACTGTAGGTACAACTGAATTCGTGAAATCGAATGACGAAATGTGAGTCACATACCTTAAAAATTAATTTCTAACCACTCATTAAAAAAATTACAAAAGAACAAACAAAATAAACTGTGTACAGTTGTGGAATTAAAATTTTGGGCAGTATTTTTCTGTCACTTCAAAAAGTTCACTGTAAACTACCTTTTACTGTCATCAGTAACTCCCGTAACTAAGAAAAAACTTGGAATCACTGCTCCAATGCATTTTTTACGAAATGCCCAGGCGAGATATTGATACATTTCATTAAGAAGGCGGTGATACCACAAAACAATATTTTTGAAAGTCAATAAGTCAAAATGACAAACATGACAAGAGTAAAAAATGAGGTTATTAATGTAAAGTCGGGGTCAATTCGTAGTGGCCATTTCATTTACTGCAAAGTTGGCAGCCCCTAGCCCACCACCTCTAGTGTGTGGGTTGTGTCTATGTTGGCAGAAGAAGTAACTAAATTATTCCAACAATTCTTCTTGTTCTTAATTTCTCCACTGTGAGTGGCCTATACCCTCCAGAGATATGTGCGGCCAAATGCCAACAATTGTAACAGGCGCAGTACATGTTATACAGGGTGTTTCACATAATTTTACGAGGCCTACGCCTGAAAGATGCAATCAATAATACATATTCCGATACGAACTCGATTACAAATTTTGAAAAATTGGATAATCTTCTCTAGTTTGCTCACCCTTTCAAAAATTACAACATTTTTAGTTAGTTAGTGATTAAGACAGATAAACTAGAATCATATTTATGCCGTCTCTTGATAGAACAAATGATAATTGTTTTTGAAAAACTGCAATTTGACTATTACTGAAACAGTGATTAGTTTGACAACTACTGTCATGGGTTTCCAAAAATTAAATAATTAAATGTGTATTCTAACCCGACTTTCAGAATTGTTATTTTTGATAGATATGTCCCTAAAAAAACAATTGGATGTTCAAAGTCAGATTTACACAATTCAATTTTTTCAAATTTTCACAGGGAAGTGGCCACTATGAATTGACCGCGACTTTAAAGGTTGTTAATAATCTTGAGTAATTAATTAATTAAAAAAATATTTTCCCTGGTCAAAAACAAAAAATCTATTTAGAAACGTCAATTTCTTAAATTAATAGGATTTATCATTTGTAATCTGATTATACAGGGTGTTTGCACTAAATTAATTCGTTATGAGAAAGCAATTTGAAGACCAAACAAATTCCGCATCCAATTTTTTTTTGCATTTTCCCCCTATAATTTTCATGAGCCGTTCAAAAATATCAATGAAAATAATTTGCATTGAATGTTGACCGTGGAAGCTTTTATGCGCAAAAAAGAGATAACTTTGTGCACAGAAAAATTATCAGTTACATAGTCGTTAACGCGCTTTCGGGTGAATTGTGCACACCGATTTGAAATCAAATTATAAATTAAGTCATTATGGCCAATTACTCAAACGCCGAATTGACTTTGTGTACGGGCATTTATCAGTTTGGACGATAATGAAATTCGTAAATATTCTCACCACATGGTCTTTCTCATAAATTGTCGCAAATCTCCAAAAAGTCATCGTCACAAATCTGATTTTTATCGCTACTATGTGCTACATAAAAAATGCATTTGCACGTACTAAACACCTACCATGTCGTTCCACTAAGAAAAAAACTCACCCCACTTTCCGACTGCATATTACTATTACACTTCCAAAAATTCTGTTTGGTCATATAAAATCCGTCTTGATACTCCATTTCATCGACACAACAAAGTGTTTCCTTATCTTCCGAACGTATGTGTAATTAATCTTCGGGTTAAAAGTTTATCCATCCAATTTTTAAACCGATAGAAATTAATTCCTCGTAGAAAGTGTACCAACATTTTGTGCGCGACGATAAATCATTCGCGAATCAACAATAAAAAATCCTATCCCCAATCAACGATAAATACTATACTTTATGCGAGACCGAGCGCAATAATTACGTATCCTTCAACTTTTGTCGACCGTTCTATCCGAACCGCGTTAATATTAAATAAACGCACCAACCCTTCTTTAAAATCACTTTCACGTATTTACGATACCATTACAGTCACAGCGACCGAAACGCCACTTGTACACTCATTAGAAGCAGTCTCATGTGTAGGTATAGTGCAATAATAGGAACTACCCATAACTTCTGCCCCACTACCATATTCCGATACAGACTGCTTGGCACTGATCGGCTAAAGGTTGGTTCACGCGACGCCTTCTAAGTACGCCTTAACACAACTCCTGGAATTTCCTTTGTCCACCATTAATAAATTGAAAGGTATGCGGAGAATTAATTACCAATTTGAGAGAAAAAAATCGTCGGCCTTGGAACAACAAACATCCATATGTTTCATTGAGCGTAATGCGTGTTTATTTATTGAACGAAAAGTGTTCAGTCCGCGGTCCGCGTCACGTTCCCGACATGTGCCCATGATATCCATCCCTCTCCCATTAGTGATTTACTTCCTTTCCAATTCAGAAATTGCTTAATCGAAAGCACAAAGAACCGACATTTGAGAAAAATTCAGAAGGTAATATACCTACACACATTGTATGACAAATAAGGAACATGCAATGTCGTCTATTACCACATTTCGCATTGTTTATGAATATATCCAATATGACGATGTGAATACTAGACTTCCTCCTTTAACAACCTAATCGCATAAATTGTAACGATCCGGGCATATCAACGCCTTCTCGTATTTTTTACGTTTTTCCATTTGCTGACGGTTAACTCAGGAAATGCTATCTTCTTCATGTTCATTACAATGCCTTAGCGACATAAAATTCACCCTAAGCCGTTCAAGAAACCGACGACCCCCCATCAAATTTAAGTACAATAATACACTAAGGTAAAAACATATCCGGTTGGTGTTGGATTACTTTATACGGCTGTTTTGTACACTCAAAGCGAAGCTCGTACATTCCAGGAGACAAACGACCACTTGAACGGTTTTAAACTTAAACAATGACAAGAAAAAAATAAGTTTTCAAATTTCCAATGTAATTATAAGGAATTTAAAAAGGATTTGGGTACAACAAATTGCCTGTTTTAAGTACGAGCTTGTAGTGTTTGCTCATTAGTTGCACAACACATGAGATGATTAGTTCTTGAGCTTTTTTGGTAATCATTTACTTCATCATTTCGAAAGCCAAAAAATCGTTTAAGTTTTAATCCTGTTTTTATATTAATGAGTATTGTTCGCCGGTACCGGCCTGTTTCTCGACGCAACCGAGGGCAAACCTCGGTAAAAGGGTGTTTTTGATCAATTTTTGCATATACACGATTTAGGACGTTATTATCGCTTAATCTCATGTGTTCGGTTCCCATATTACCGAACCTCAAATCTTAGTATTTGTTAGAGCATGTGTGGTTTTAAATCGACTTTTGGTACCAGTGCTACAATAAAAAAATGTGCTACAATGAGCAAAACTCTTAATTACAGAAATTAATAATTTATCAGTTGTCACAGGTGCACCTTGGTTATCTTGTAACCAAGTTAGATTAAAAAAAATTAAATACCATTTGCAGGTGTACTCTCACTTTTCTTCAAATACAATTAAGTAATTAGTGAAAAAATTCAAATGGCATAAATAATGTATCTGCCCGTTAGAAGTGACCAACCCTTAATACGCAACAGGTGTCATCGATTTCGATTTAAATGTCGCTGAAAATATTATTCTGACCGACCTATATTTAGAATACTGTAACGTAACTAACATTTATGTTTTTTTTCCTTATGCAAGAAGGGTCAAAGAATAACTCTAATAATAAACTTGAACGAAGCTTATTATTAATCAAATAACATCACTGGACTCATTTCCTCATTCTTTATCAATCTGCGACTGAATTAATTCTGGCTTGATCTCTACACCGATCTCTCTTAGTCGAATGACAGACAGGTGTTATTTTTTTTCTCTCGGATTTCCTTCCGAATTTCCTTCACTTTCACGGTCCCGGAATCCTTCGGGTGATTTGCAATGACTGACAAGGCAATTATCTCAAAAGAACTCGGACCGGTCACAAGAAAACCCAAGTAAAACGCTTTCTTCAGTATATATCGCACATACGAGACAAGTGATCCAATTAATTAAACCGAGGGGAAAGTCGGTTCTAGAATAATATAGAAAACATAATGATACAATTTAATCGAGTTGCGACTGTCTCTTTAAATTTTTCTCTTTTCATATTTCATTTTTTCACCGCTACTTACCCACTGGTTGTCGATCGAATTTCCCGGTGGCGGTTCTTCTTTGGTCGGCCTAAGGCCGGCTTTAGGTTTCGCAGGCGATAGTCTACTTCCCGGCCTAGCACTGAATGGAAAATAAGGGCTATCTGCTGCGAACGGTTCTCCTGTGGCTTGTGTCGGACTGGCTCCGGGACCCGTATATACCGGACCCGCCGGACTTATGGCGTAGGCCTATTATCATTCAAAAGAAATAATTCAGCTTCCAACACAGGAAAAATTAACGTCAACGTGTACACATCTAAGTGCACTTCCGGTCGTTCGTCCGCTTCACCTGACTCGATAAAAGGGTTGGTGATTTCTCGCCTATTATTTTCAGTTTTATGGTCACGTTTGAAAATTCGATTAATGGATCTCGCCGATCGTAAATTATTACTGAGGTTGTGGGGAAGAAAATTTAACAACGCAATAAGTCCTCCCTTTACCATTAATTAAAAGAAAAATAACGTGATAAAAACGAACTGAATCTTGCCGACACGATAAAACAGCATATTGTTATGATTATTCTCATGACTTGAATACAAGTTACGCAGAAACGCGATAATTTTTTTAATAAAAATAGTTTTTCTAGAAGTTGCGCGTTTTCAGATCTATTGTCACAATTTAAAACTAACATTTTACGTTAATTTTTTGTGTATACCTACTTAATAAACAAATGCGGCTTAAGTCTGTCACTCAAGTGTCAATGTCTGTCATGACTGCCAATCAAATATTCGACTTTTGCTAATCTAGACAGACTAAGCAAGATTTTATTTTAATTAATTATAAATACATAATCTTTAAAAATCACAAACCCTTTACGTTTAAAAAAAATACAACAGATATATCAAATTCTTTCGTTCATTATTTCCACAATTAATTAAAAAATTAAAAAGCAAATATTTGCATAAAACTCACCATTCCGTTGTCTATGCCACCATATGGCGATTGAAAACCGGGTTTTTCTGAAACAGAAAAAAATACAAAACTTGAGAAAATCAAATCGATTTAATGATACGTCAAAATCTCTTCAATACATCTCCCGGAGCAAAGTGACAAACGAAACTGACGATTCTACACTGACCTATTTCACGCGATTCGATTTTGACCATAAAGTAGAAATGTCGCGAATAAATCACCGCAGACCTTTATTACAACGTTACGATACAGTCGGAGTTTTGCTATGTCGCAGAAATAATACGTAATTATTTATTTCGACAAAAAAGACATCATTTGAATTACCGTATTGAAGTTTTGTATATTCCCGATTTTAATTGTCACTTTGCTGTTACCTGATTTAGAATCAACGAAATTATTAATCTGTAAAACTTTAGACTTTTTGTATTTCTTTGTTGATTTTTTTCCTTCTCATTTTGAATTATTTTTAACTGACTCATCAATAAAAGACTCCGGAGAGGCTGCCATTTTTTACAACTTATTTAACGGCAATAAAATTTATTCTGCTTTTCTAAAGCTATAAAGAATACTACTGTTCTTTGGTTACAGTTTGTTTCAACCCCTACAAAATTACTGTACCCTATAATTCACATAATTTTTTATTATATTCTCCCCCTCATATATGAAATAACCTGTAGAGCACTATACCTACAGTCAAAGTGTTTCCTGTCCTTGTTCACCCTTATTTATTACCAGGCCTATATTCCAACCCATTGTTTTATTTCATCTTGCTATTGGAAGTCCTAGTTTCCAATTTACACATGTTTTGATTCAAGCTTTTTCACAACACTTCTAATTTTATTGTATGTAAATTTACGACTCATCTCATGTCAAGATTTGTATCAATAAATGACTTCTTTACTAGAACGCAACCACAAAAATTGCATTCGCAGCATTCAGACCATTGACTACCTACGTGGCTTGAGGTATTTAAAATTCTTTATTTTAGTCACGTGATAATTGTAATTTTCCATAATTTTCTTACAAAGAACAACCTTGAACTTCATTCGCTCCAGTTTCATCCTTGATGACATCACAACTAACGGAAAAAACAGATGGCCGACTGTGAAATCCAAAAAACTGAATCAAAGCAAACCCTGCCATATGGAAAGCACGATTTTTATTGCGGCATGTTTGGAAGGTGTGCGTTTTCGGGTTCAACGTATCACTTTTGTTAGTCTAGTTTTTGAAGTTTCTTTAACAAGTTGTTGTTAAATGAACGTAATATGCATCACGATGAAGAAAAACGAGTTGAAGTATGCCCTCATCAATCAAAATAAAATCGCATCGCATTCTGTCAATTTATGCCGATATAATGATGTCAAAATAAAAGAGGTCTAGTCGCAACACCAGTATTTTATCGGGGTACATGTACCTATATAATGTTGGGCGGATTCTGGTGTTCACGAGAACGTGAAATATTTCTCATTACAACGTGAATGTCATAATAAGATAATATTCATTAGTGGAGATCAGAGCCAGAAGATAGGAAGTTGACCATGGTTTTGTTCGAGACAGGTCCAACGGCGCAGAAATGTGTTGATTTCGATTATGTTTGACATGTGGAACGAAACGGGCCCCGAAACACATTCATTGCTGAGAAATTACGTAAAGAACATAAAGATCCTTTTCAAAGAGTCCCAAGAAGTTATTGAAAGAAAATGCAATTTTCATAAAGTTTAGCATCTCAATGACGACATAAGGATAATTAACGTAATTTTTACAAAAATCCTAGATAAAAAATTAGATATACTTATCATTCAAACTAAATTTTATTTTTGTCTTGTGAACAGAACTAGGTAAATCATTTCTATCGATGTAGGTAAGTGCTGCTTTATAAATAGAAGCAAATTATTATGAGCCGAATTTATTTAGCTACAAAAATAATAAATGAGTATTTAATTAATATCAATGTTAATTAAAATTTGTGAATCCTCAAATAATAGTTTAAATAAAATGTTAAGCTTTTAATTCTCAAATTGCTTTTTGTAAACAATAAGTATAAAGTACCTGTTTTTTTTTTTTTAATGGAAATTACCAAGTCAAAATTTTGGTGAAAAAATTGGTAGCAGCTTGTCTCCATAGCCACAAATTTTGTTTGCTCTTTGTTTTTGTCCCTAGAAATTTTGTTAAAAAATTATGGTTATGTGTTCCAATTGAGATGTTGTCAAAATTTTGACTTTTATGAATCTTGTGTGCCTGTTTGCTCTTTGAAAGGACTATAATTGAATACCTGAGGACAGGCATCATTACCTAAGGTCTAAAGACAGAATTCAGTGCTAATAATTTTGACAGAAACACACCGCAAGTTAGTACAATGTTGTAGACAAAAATCAGATTCTTGCTACAAAAACTTTGAAGAAAAAGGATGTATATACAGAAAAAAGTTATTTAGCAAAAGATAAAGTAGGTATTATGATGATTGGCAATGAATTTTGTGTAATTGATTGAAATTAGCTCAAAGTTGATGCATTTTATAAATTCTTCTTCAGCTTTAGTTTCAAAATTATTACTTTTTCAACTCATTCCTCAAAAAACGATGCACAAGACACTAATTTAATTGCGTTCTTTCCGAGGTTCTTGCTCATTCAAGTTTATTTTGTATTCTTGTCAATTTTTTGCTAAAAATTAAGAATGTTTAGCAAACCTGCATTACAAATTGCGTCTACATTTTAACGGGCCCTTTTACTAACTTCCTGCTTGCGAACTATTCGTTTCCAAATTTCGAAAAACTGTTAGTGTACCGAATTTGTTTCTTTTTTGGTGTTTCGTCTCTAAATTTTCTTAGATGATTTTTTGTGTTGACGATTAATGACACTGTTTTCAAATTAATTCAAAAAACCGGAACTGCCAACTTCCTTTATAAAAATTACCATGAATGAATTTACAGTGATGCCAACGTTAAGACTGTTTGGCATTTCCATTAAAAAAAAAAGACTAGGTTTTTTTATTTTAATATAATATGTCCCCCGATTGATCTGTAATTAAAACTTCTATATACTGACTCAGTGGAAAGAAAAGTTAATTTTTCTCTTGATTTTAGACATCTATTTTTTTTAGTGCTAGATAATAAATTTGGCCCACCATTGTTCTGTCACATCAAAAAAATTAGATGTAAACCGTGCAGATTTTTTTTTATTGTCACAATACTGTCAGTCATCAAGCTGTCATCAACACCGCCTCCTTAATCAAATGTATCAATATCTCGCCTCGGCATTTCATAAAAAATACATTGGAACGGTGATTCCGATTTTTTCTTAGTTACGGGGGTTACTAAGGAAAAACTGAATGATTTTGAATTATTAACGAAAAATAATATAAAAGCTGGGAAGGAAGAATACAACAAAACCAGATACGCCAGGGAGAATTGATATTATGAGGTTGAACCCTTTAAGCTAAAAAACTGAATTTGTCAAATTTTCCCCAGATTAAAGCGCCATTAAAGCGACGATGGTCATCAATATACTTTCGGTTACATACTTTAATAAAGTTCGAATAATTTCCCTTTCTCTAGAGGGGATGTCACGTAAACTTTCTGCAGCTTTAACAATCTATGATAATTTATGTCAAAACAACAACCTTGCAGAACAAGACTTAAAAGGTACATATAGCTTAAGAGGCGAATGTCATTTAGACATTTGTGGTGAATTAAATTTATTGTCAGGCACTGTACAGGGTGCTGCATTTTGGATGTCCGAATAAAACTAAGAGGATTAGCCAAAAACCAGTGATACATTCTGGGGCTCATTTTTTGAGAAAATAATATTGGTGAAAAAATTTAAAATTTAAAAAAAAATCATATCTTTGTTATTAAGAAGATACAGATTTGAAACAAAGACATTATACAGGCACTTTTTTACGTAGAATTTAATAATGTTAAAAAGCTTATTTTTTTTCTGATCTTAAAAATATATACAGGGTGTTTAAAAAAGGGGCACTAAAATTATAGTACGGTGTCTACAAGTATTTGGTGAGTGAGAGAAAAATATTTAAAAAATTCTTGGTTTTTATTTTTCTGCACATCAGTAGAGGTTTTATGTAAGAATCTTCAAATATTGTTAGCTGTACCTATTATTACAAAATAACACTCAAAATGCAATTAAAATATGCAGAATGGAAGGTAGATTAATAATCTTTAACCCAATATTTTTCGAAATTAATAACGAAAGATCTTATAACATGTAAAAATTTTAGATGAAATAATGAAATGCTTAATAAAAATGGGTTAAATGCAGAAAGTCGTCAAGTAACCAAATATCTTTTTGCTGTCAAATTTATCATAAATTAATTACCATCGCATCTTATAAAATATTCAAGATTCTGTTTACTTCAGATGAGTCAGCGGTTTTATGTACTTTTTACTTAATTATTATACCAACTGTTCGTTTAATAACTGACAGTGAAATGTAACTAATTCAAAAATTCATAATCTTAATTGGCAATTTAAAATCTTGATGATACCTGTTGCCCTAAAAATTAAAACCATTCAAAAGAAAAACATCGGAAATTTTAAAATATGTATAACAGTATAATTAATTTTATTACATTAAACATTCCGCACAATAAAAACAAATTCACTTGAAACGCTCGATTTATTATTATTTCAGTAGAAAGCACTTTAAATGCCGAAAAAGATTATAAAAAAATAAATCTGTCGGTCAAAATAAAATAATAATCAAGATGTAAAAACGAAAAAGTAGTATTTTTAAATATACCAGTCGATAACATTTTAAGTGTCAAACATTGTTTAACAGTGTATTCTAGGCATTTCTCAAGTATTTGTTGCAATACTTCAAAAACATAAAACCAAATTTTCTACCAGATTAAAAAAAAACATAGTTTAGTATATTATACACCTGTATGACTAATAAAAATTATTTCTGATTACTTGCAGGGTGTAGTTTTTTGCCTTCCAAATTTTTAAATTGAAATTTTTCAAAACTATAAATTTCAAGTTCATCTAGTTGTTGCACTAACAAGACAAAAACACTTATTTTTCTTTTGGGAAGATTTTTTAGGCCACTCTGTAAATATGAATGATACAATAACACAATCATCATCTAATATAAACATCTCTAGCTTTTAATCCGTTGTCTTTATTTGGATGAATTTTTCTTTTCACGATTGCAATAATAATAATTAATTTGGATCACATCTCGTGTGTAAGAAAAAACAAAAAAAAATGTCGAAACCGACAATAAATTAACTACACAAACTGGAAAAAAAACTTTAATCCATTACTTAATAAGAAGCAAAATTGTAATGTCTTGTATAAAAGACGGTTGAATACCAAAAGCAGATGTTTTGTAGTATAACGAACTATCTGAAAACGCGGCCACGTTTTAATGTAGTCGTCTCACTTTACCTGTTGGAAATAACAGCAAGACATTAGCCGTAAACAAGAACGAAAGAAGATACACACACGAGCATTTTAACAGCAGGATAATGAACTCTAACTGTTCATGTCGTAGGGACCAATTCGTAAAAGCAATTAAGTATGAATATGACCCATATATACTTTCGATATATGGCGCCCATTATGCGAACCCTTCCAGAAAAATCAAAGTTACACAGAAATTTTTCACGTGCTGCAAACTTTACTTTCCACACGACACATAAAAATAATTCATCAAAATAATACTTATCGAATATAAAAATTTCTTTTCATGAAATGGTGACAAAACGCTTAAAAGAGAGAAGTAAGGGTACTAATATTGTGGCAAGGTGTATACCTCGTACTTTATTTGTCCACCTGTTTATCATTTTCCTTTTAAATCTCGACAAGTTAAACACTGGAAGCGCGGATTAATCTCAGTGAGCGGTGGAAATGTGACAAAGAAAAAAACGCGGCTTTGAGTGCTCAAATAGAATGTTAAATTTTGGTCCACTGTGTATATTTGAAGGTTCGTTGCAAGCTCTCCCTCAAACCGGAAACACCAAAACATTCTTTTATCCCACAGAAGCATCAAATCCGTAATTTATGATAACAACATCGACATCGCAGATTATGTCCTATCGAAATTCCGTTCATTTTTTGCTTATACGTATCGAAAAATGCGAAATGCCACCACCAAAGGGCCAACTAACGTAAATAAACCACTCGTTATCAAACTTCCCACAATGACAACACTGGAGAGCAAAATGATCATCCTCTGAACAGGCAGGGGATTTTTCAAAAGCACCACAACGATTCAAAATTCAGTTCGACTAAAACTCGTAGTCGTTAATTCGTTCGATGAATGTCCCGAAAAGCAAAATTCCACCAACAAATTCCCAATTTTAAACAAGCTGTTTTAATGTTTTGGATCGCACGCTTAAAACCATGGTCGTATTTTGATGACAAACACGCACAGAACGGCCCCACCAACCCTAAAGAGGCCTTCGCGGGGACAGTATTGAATTAAAAATTCACTCACCTGGTGCCTTGTTTGCGATTTTATTAAAACAATTTGTAAAAACCTCATATAAATGATGCATAGGCTCTTCATCGCTGGCAGCCATTTTGACTTACTACTGACAACTGACGATGCTGGCGGCACCTATACACGACCACTAAACATCAAACTAAGGGGGAAATTCAAAAAAAATACACAAAACTACTTAGTTACCTCTAATTAAGTACATTAGTTAATTATTGAAATATTTATTAATGTGATAATTCTGCGTAACCTTTGTTATGTTGATAATAAAAACAAAAGTCTGCCAAAAAATCCAACTGATATTTTTGCCCCTAGTGTCAAAAACAATTTTTGCAGACAACAAATACATCACATTTTAATTAAAACGTTGTTATTCATATCCTGAAGATGTAAATTTCATGATTAATGTTTATAACTAATAAATTTAAACTTGACGCCTCTGAATTCTAAACGTCATTTTCTGTCAGCTGTCAAAAAGTGAGGTTATATAATGGATGTGGATTCGGAAAGCCCTGGGACTTCGATTGATGAAAATACAGAGAACTTCTGCGACAATCCAACTCGCGATACTTTGGCCGAAGGTCTTATGGGCTTGATCAAGCCCACGGTTGACCAACTGGACGAACGTGTACGAGCCACAAGGTACCTCTTGTTTTATGTTCCTCACCCTCATATCTGACACCGCTTTTTTAGGATCTCTCAACTTGAACTGAAGCAGTGTATTGAGACTCTCTGCGAAGAATTGAAGAAAATCAACGAGAGTCAACAATCTACTGTTGATCTTGATGCTTATGTTAAGAAACTCATCAACGCGAAACAGAGAGTGACTGTGTTATCAAACATCTTGCAGAACGTCCAAGACCGTCTTAACAAAGTCCACTCGTCGATCGAAAAAGAAACAGTCAAGCGGAAAATAATTTTGAATAATACCATAGAGGATCAGAGTCCTTAATGTTACTTAAAACTCCGCAATATGATTTAAGGGGGCACCCAGAGGTGTATGAGCCGAGCGAGGATTCGTTCTTGCTCCTTGATGCACTTGAACAAGAGTTGGGGTTTTTGGAGGCGATGGAGCCGGTTTTTGCCCTGGAGATTGGGTCAGGAAGCGGGATTGCAATCACAGCCTTGGCGACAAGTCTCAAATGCGAATGTTTTGCCACTGATATTAATCCGGATGCGTGTGTGGCAACGAGTGAAACAGCTAAGTTGAATAGGACCAAAGTGAATTGTGTCAACATGAATTTGTTTTTTAATTTTAGGGAAAATTTGTTTGATATTATTTTATTTAATCCCCCGTATGTCGTTACAGACTCTGCGGAAATTAGCGGTTATGGATTGAGTAGAGCGTGGGCTGGGGGCCGTACAGGTCGCGAGATTACTGACAGGGTGCTCTGTAATTTACAACATTTTTTGACACCAAAAGGCGTGTGTTATATGGTGATTTTGAAAGAAAATAACATTGACGAAATTATGTCTCTTGTGTGTAAAAATATCTTTCGTTCGGAAGTAATTAAAGACAGGAAAATAAGAGGAGAACATTTATTTATACTAAAATTTTCAAAGGCTATGTAGAAAAGTATATTGATTGGTCTTGTGGGTATAAAAATGTTTGAAATATGGTATTAAATAATTATACAAAATAAATAAGAAAATTTGGAGTTTTGAAGTATTTCGCCCCAAAAATTTTACCTTCTTCAGTCGGGGAGCTGAAGGCAATGTCTTCATTCCTTAAAATCGCACCAAATACAAAATTTCTCTTAAGTGCGTCCATAAGAGATGTTGCTACGCCCTTCTGTCGATGATTGTGGGCTACCCAAATCCGGGAAACACCACATTTCACAGGGTAAGACTCCTCTGAACATAAATCCACTTGGTCTTGGTGGGTTGTTAGTAACTTATGAGCGGTAGTTTTGACTTCTGCCACTAAAGCCCCGATTATAACTTTACTTTTGACATAGAAGAATATCTGGAAAAAATAAATCCTAATAAATTGGCACAGCTAGTAGGACAGTCTACTTGTGAATTAGCTGTGTTGAATTCAATATCAAAGTACCCCAAATCTCGGTTGACCACTTCCATCACGTCTTTGACTTTCTTCCACCAGATTTTGGAGTCACCCGGTATAATTTGGATGATCTTCCCGTTGCGTAGATCGTTCGAGACGACGCGTTCATTTTTCCAACCCTATAATTAATTAGGTTTAATTAATAAAAAAAAATAAATAAAGAAGAACTCACATTAAACCGGAAAATATGCCCGGCATTGTGATAATTCAGATGCATTATTTCATCGCCCGGGTCTCCCATATGATAAATAATTTTACACTCAGGACACTGAGTAGCCCCCCATCTCTTCTGTCCTGCATCTAATAACATCTGGTCCTTAGAAATCGGCCTAAACTTCTTCGTCCCGTTCGAGACCTTATGTTCCTTAACTGGAGAAGGAAAAACCGTTTTTCCGGGATAGAAAATAGGAAAAAATTTCTTCTCGTTCGACGGCATAGCATCCAAAACCGAGCTTAAGTCCCTCGCTTTTTTCGGACTGTTCAAAGCCAGTCCCGAGGTCATATTACACATCTGGGACGTTGGAGACATTAACAAATCCGGGTTTTTCCTCTCATTTTCTTTATCTTCGAGAGAATTAATGATATTCGAAATTTCGTCAGTAGGAATTAAGGGTTGTTCAGGTTCGAAATCCAATTTTGGACGTTTAGGACTGACGCCCTCTTGTACTCTGACCCGTTTAAGGGGATTTTTGTTCTGAATTAAACTAATCCGACCGTTGTTCATTTCGAGCTTTATGTTGGGGTTTACTGTGACTACGGCTTTGTGGCGGGAAGATTTGAAGAATCTTTTTGATGGATCAGGCTCAGGACTGGGTGTTGGACTGGGTGTTGGACAGCAAGGAGCAGCTTCAGGGGCTGTCTGAATGCATTCAGGGGCTGCTTCGACCGACTCAGAATTTGAAACAACAGAATCGAAGATTGCGTTGAGAGGAGAGTTTTCAATTATGTTGATTGCGGCTTCGAGAGCCGCAATTTTGCTGATTTTTCGGATTTTTCTCTTTTTTATCTTGTGGCTGACTCCCGCATTGATTTGTCCTGATCGACTGTAAAATAAACATTTTGCAGTCTTACAATACTATTAACAAAATAGAGTAAAGTTTTGTTAAGCCTCCTTGTAGTTTAATGTAGCCATTAAAGTGATTTTAAAAAGTCGGATGGCCGTTGCCATCCACACAATCAAAAATTACAAAATGGAAAAGGAAAGTTAATTTTTTTTCTCGTAATTTATTCACAAAATTTGTGATTACTACAATACATAACAACATAACTGTTAATTTAGACACACTGTTCTTTAGTTCAAATAATTTTAATTATAAAATCAAGTTGCCTTGCCAAAAAAAATTAAGCAAATGAATGTGACTAACCTGAATTTACTCCTCTTGTTGCATAAAAAATAGGTCTTTCTTCTGTGCGTTTTTTCGGGGCTTGGTTTCTTGGTGAGGGCAAAAGGTCGTGGCAGAACCTCGTTATCGGTCTTAGGATAAAAATTTCTGGAAGGGAGAGACATGTCCTTGTCAGGAAACAGAGCGGTACGTACTTTTGGATTTTTACAGTCTTGGTTGGGGGCTGTGTCAACCTGCGTCTTATTACGTATTAATTTAGGAAAAACGGTGTTGGTGTGCGTATCATGTGGTGTTTTAAGTTTCTGTGTTGGCGACTCATTGGTGGTGCAAGGAGTGATGACTTTAGTAGTGGTGTTAGTGTTGTTTGGAGTGTGGACCGTGTGTCCCTTTTCCACGAGACCGATGATGTCGTAATCCCCGACACATGTATCTAGTGAAAAGACGTTTTTGGCACAGCCCTCGTCGAAGTCCAGAGGACTTATGCACCCTAGATCGTCGTCGCACGGGGAGCTGTCTGGAAAGAGGGCTCTTCGTCTGCTGGAAATCTCTGGAGTGTGCTCGATTTGCGGATGAGGCTTCATCACATTGGGTCTAGAAAGAATTTTCCAAGAGGCCGGAAATGAGGGCAGCAGCCACTTACCTGACCAACTGGCGGGAAACATCCGCTCTGAAGGGGCATAATAATCACACGTCACGGGTGCACGAATGGCGGGGTTTGTTTACGGTTCACGCAGCTCAAACCGTTTTTCTAACCAAACATAAATAACGGATTAGAGGACATGAAAAGCGATTCCCGCCGGATAAACAGGAAGATGATTGGCTACCGGGATGAGGGGACACAGACGCATGCGCAGCAGTTTTTTTAAATCGTTCGTCTAAAAATAAAATAATTCAACATAATTTAAATAAAAGTTATAATTAGCTTTTAGTAATAAAATAAAACACAATTTTTAATTTTTAGAAACCTATTTTACACTTGATTGGCATTACTTGTTAAAAAAAAATAGCATGAAGTGTCGCCAATCGCCTACACCAAAACTCCCCTACTGCCAAATCCCGCAGCCTGCTATAACCTTGGCGCCGTATAGCAATGTCTATAAGTAAAATCATTCTGTATAAAAAAGCATTGTTAACGTAAGGTAGTAGTTGTGTTTTGATTCGTGGAGTATAAGTAAACAGCAGTGCAAATTATAGTGTAAATTATGGTAAATACAGTGCAACATAGTAAAAAGTCATCTCTGACAAAGTCCATGGAATATAATTGGTGTTATTGGGTTTAATAAGGTACGTTAAATGTGATCATTGACTAAATTTGTTCTATGAGGTAATCTTGGCTTGTGTTAAGACACCTGTTCACACCTATCTTCACCGAAATTCTTTTACTCTTTAGTGAAATTTTGACGGAAAGTGTGTTCACAAATCGTTAACAGTTTACCCTGATTAGTTTCAAGCTTTGAAAAACACCCAAAAGGTGCTTTCAAGCAAATTTATTTCTGTTTTTGACTAGAAAATTGCGTAATTCGTCGGCAATTTACACTTTTATTTTGAAGTTTTACACAGCCAGAATATTAATTTTAAATTAAAGTCTTTCTTCAAGGTGTTTCCTTTGTGACCATAAAAAAAGCAGTCCCAGGTTAAAGATCACAAATCGGTGATACGTAAACACTATGTGATTCATAATTTACTCCTCAAATTATCTCGGGTTAATGTGCTAAATAGGTATCTCCAGACATGAGATCAATTTTTCCCGAATTATTTTTAGACGCAAAAGCTTTTATCCAAAAGCTGCACCGAAAAATCGGTTTTATTTGAAACAAGAGTACCTACAGTCTTATAATTATCAACTTTTTTGATAAATTATATTGCACTAGAGCCAAGTTATGTTACTATAGCAACGCATAAACGGGTGCACTGCATCTCGTTTGGCATTTTGAATTAATAACCAACATATTTTTTAGTACAATATTATTTATGTTTAGTTCAATTATTGAATTATTTTTTTCAGCAACGAAAAATTTCAAATGACTTGCCAATGTATTTGCATCTCTCTGATCTTGCAGTTAGACATGACGTTTTTTGGAAAGATAGAAACGATGTAAGGAATTATCCTGATTTGTAGGTAGAAGTAGCAAATCTCTCGCTTTGTATTTGTCTAATATGTTCATTGTGTAATTTAGTAATAAAAATTGAAACTGTTATGTTTTCCCTTTTTCTCATTTGGCATTGAACATTTTAATATTGGTAGTACATAGTATACCGTACATGCAAAACTTAGGTTAGTAATAGTTTGTAGAGTATATTTTGATTATTTTAGTTTATTTACAAATAAATTAAATCAGATTTATGTCTCAATTTAAAATAGACCATTTTGCGTAAACTTCGTTTGGTTTGTGTCATTTTTATTACATATAGAGGGTTTTTTTATTGCAACATTACTGCTTCTTTAAGATTTTCATAAATAAATATCTGAAAAAGTATAAATAGTTTTCTTATTATTAACAAAGTTATATGTATATTGAGGGATTATTGCCCTCTAAAACAATAACCCCAATCTTGTTAATATTGATTCTCAACCTAGGCGAGGTTTAACTCGTTCTCAATTCTGAAAATATTTTTCTCGAATATGTACAAAGAATGTACTAAAATCTCATTTTAAATGTTTGTAATGTATTCTTATTATTTCGAATGACTATTATTGCGAGAATAATACATGTTTTTGATTACAATGTTGGATGCAAGTATGCAAATAACTAAGCATAATGGAGGTACACACAATCAAAACAAAGTCGTAGAAAAGTAGGAGTAAATAACGTCCGAGTGGCAAAACCGCTTATTATATTCCAAATCGCTACAAGAGTCCTAAATGTTTCGCATCCAGAGCTCCAAAGAGATCTTTTGCAAGATAACGGGTCAGTGTCACTTGAGTGACATAAAGTTGTAAAGCAAGCATCAGGATGTTAACCTTATTTTATAGTACTGTCAACTCTTTGTCAAAATTTAAAATTGTTAAAACATTCTTCGTCACTTGTTGATAACATACATACCTATGCATATAATAGTACTTTTTGCTGACCAACCTCAGAAAGAAGGGAGACGATTCTAAATTTTTCAACGGTGGAAGGTCAAGGTGCCATATTTTTGACAAGAGAAAAGTCAATAATTTAAAAAGTTGTCATGTTGACTTGATGTTAAAATGCTTGGTTTACATTACATGACTTTTTTGAAGTGACAGGAAAAATATTTTGTCCGCAATAGTACAGCAGAAGCAGAAATTGAGAATTCTAGAGTTATCGGGGCAACACAAAACTGAGCGGTTTATTGATGTACTCGTAGTAGGGCTAGAAGTGGTAATAAGGATTATTTTTTTTTATTTTATTATTTTATTTTATTCAAATGTTTTCTAAACATTAACTGTTTTCTTTTGCTTGTGTGTATATCTCGTCGCATAGCTGTCGCCACCCTATCGCCCACCAGCTTTATTTTTGAGGTGAAATAGGTTAGAAATATTTGATTTGATTTTTTTTGTAAAAGAAGAATCTGTGTTACAACTGACCCTACTGACAAATTTTGAACCAGAAAAAACATTGTGAAGTGGCACGAGATATATCTATTTAAATAAATGTAGTCGATAAATACTCGTCTATAACTTGATTGTTATCATGACAAGTGCATAATTTGTGCAAAAAGGCAATTTATAGCAATCTTGGAATTGCCGTTCCTGCTACAACTATAATTTCCAATAAAGTCACTGTAAATTGTAATTTTCGCAAGCCATCAAAACTTTACACTTCGACTGTTGATGTTCTATGCAGAGGCCACGTGTGCTAAAAACATGAAATCGTGTTGTAAACCGATTAAAATTTACATAGACTTTTTAATGTAATATGATAAGTTTTTACAGTGCTGATAATGTATTTATTCTTGCATTGTTGAAATAACATTGATTTGTTTTGTTCATTTAAAGTAATTTCACGATTTTTATTAGGTAAAATTAGTGAGGCAGTTTTAAGATGAAACGACAAACATTTCTCGATTAATTGAAATCTCAGTAATTTAATTATGAAGTGAAATCCTAGTTAAATTTTAAAGTTTTAAAGTAAAATTATTATGTATGTGCTTCTAGTGATGTGATTCTAGTGCGACTTTAGTTTTATTCTTGTTAGACGTCGATGAAAATTTTTATCAGTTGTTGACTAAACATTTTAATTTGAATTTTTTGTGTGATATTTCTTTGAAAAAAATTGGTTGCATATGATATACTATACCATATATCATATACAGGGTGTTCGGTCCAAGTCGCCCCGGCCGATAACACCTAAACTTACTTTTTTTTTTCAAAAACTAAATTTTCAAATAATACTATTCATTCTACGCTTTCTTAGTAAATGCATCAATTTTTTTTGGCACATCCGGTGTATCCGGAAATGCTACCAAATTTAGTTTTTCAAATAGAACACCTATGTTTTTTTGCTCGAAACAATAAGAATTGGCATGAAAAATACGTTAAACCACTATTTATTACATTTTACTTTACATAATGCACTCAGAAAACAATTTAAATTTTTGAATTTTATTGCAAATTTTGCAACGTAGGCGGATTTTACTTGTCAAGGTATTCATCAAAAAAGCAATATGCTTGGATACCGTTTAATTCTTAGTTTGACAAAGCCTCATTTGTCAATAAATCTTATTGAGATCTTTAATAATGGATGTTATTAATTACGACGAAGGGGTAGATCAGCTTGAAGTGTTTTTTAAGTGCAACAAAAATAGAGCGGAAGCTGAAAGACAGTATACAGAAAAATTCTCAAATAGAGTTTACCCAAATTGTTGAAAATTTAGTCGAATTGAAAAACAAATGAGACAAACAGGTTCGCTTCTTAAAACTAAAAAACCTGCGGTTCTTTGTGAAGAACAAGAAAATAGAAATCTGAATGTTCTGTTATCAGTCGAAGAAAATCCAAGAGTTTTCCATAAGAGAACTCGCTCATAAACTGACAAATTAAATTTGTCAAACCAACAATTAAACTGTATCCAAGCATTTTTTTTTATTCACACCTTTCCTTTAAAATTAAAAATCAGGCTACGCGACCAATTTCCTTATAAAATTCTAAGATTTAAGATGTTTTTTGATTGCATTGTGTTACGCAAAATGAAATAAATAGTGGTTTACAGTATTTTTCATGTCAATTATTATTGTTTTGGGGGAAAAAAACATATATGTTCCATTTGAAAAACTAAATTTGGTAGCATTTAATACATTTATTAAGAAAGCCAAGAATGAATATTATTACTTGAATATTTACTTTTTGAAAAAAAGAAGTAAGCTTAGGTGTTATCAGCTGGGGCGACTTGGACCGAACACCCTGTATGTCCATATATCATATATGGATGGACTCTGTCAATTTTCAATATTTTTTCATACTTTGAAAAATGTCGTATACAAATTGAAAAAAATTAACAAGGAAAATACAGCTTAAGGAAATTGGTGGTTAGTGATTACCAAAAATTATAGTTTCGTTTTTGTGATTCAAAATTAAATACCTACCTATAGGAATTTATAATTTTTTTTAAATTTAGAGTTTTATCAAACATTTCTCGATTAATTGAAATCTCAGTAATTTAATTATGAAGTGAAATCCTAGTTAAATTTTAAAGTTTTAAAGTAAAATTATTATGTATGTGCTTCTAGTGATGTGATTCTAGTGCGACTTTAGTTTTATTCTTGTTAGACGTCGATGAAAATTTTTATCAGTTGTTGACTAAACATTTTAGATTTTAAATTTAGAGTTTTATCGATTTTTTGTTGAATTAGAATTCAAATTGGTAAAGCGACATCTTTATCGTATTTTATGTGACATAGGACACTGCTTTGACGATGAAAATTTTATTTAGATTTTATTCATCTTTAGTATGGAATATTGAACAAACTTTCTCGACAGATTTGAATCAATTTTCGACACGATATTTCATTTTGACACACTTAAATGAGTTTAATTTGAAAAAATATTTTAATGATGCAGTAATTGAAAATAGAAATATTTATTTATTGATAAATGCCATGGGGCTACAAAAGAGTTACCTACCTATTGAATATTTTAATGATATTGAATAACAAGAGTGCTGTCACGAGTTGCTTTAATCAGATTACTCTTCTCAAATTAATTAAAAAATAGTTATATTATCTCTGAAAAGTTGTAATTGTTACCACAAATTCAGCCATCAGGAAGAAAATTTTACAATTGCGAGAATCTAAGAAAGCTAAAAATATTTATTATATAAACCATTATTCTTTTGATTGAAAGTAAAATGACAAAGCTGAGTTACGATTTTTCATGGTTTCAAAATTACTGTGCATCAATTCGGCCATAAAATGATATTAATCCAGACAAAGGTTAGTCTCCAGTTTCCCGTAATTCTATTAAGATTCGTGTGCTTGTAAGAATATATCTTTCGGTGATGCGTATGTACGGTCAATACTTGTAAATAAAGTTATCAATAAAATGAGTTCGCGGGTCAGTAAACTTCATTGAAACTGCTTCATAATTTATCAAGTTTTATTTCGTTTCCTGAATATTTGTATCTTCACTGGTCGCCGTAGCGTCGCTGAAACTCCCACCTAGTGCCGATGCTTGCTTATACCTTTATGGTAATTGGTCGAAACGTGTGATAAATACGTTATGGTACTTTTACAGTGTCGCAAAAGTCGCAAGATTATGGCCAGTGGCGACAAGAAGAGTCCACAACTGAGTAAAATCAAAGTCAAGGTCGGAAATAGTACAGTGACAGCCAGTGATTCGGACGCTAGCGTGGAAACCAATAGTTTAAGTGCGGATAGTACGACGGAACAAAATAATGTCACGCAAACTGAAAAGCGACGAAAGAAAGCCAGGAGGGGGTCGGAATGGGAGATTATGGAAGGACTGAAAGATGGGCAAAGGTTTGAAAGTAAGCCGAATTCGTTTAATGGATTTTTGCACAAGAAGAGGAAGTGGCCTTTGAAGGGGTGGCATAAGGTATTTGATATTTATAAGTGTGAGTAAATTTAGACCATCCTATTCTAACTAATGGCTTGTTTTATTTATGCAAAATTTAATTATGATGTAATTAATTTTGAGGTAGAGGGTTTATAAATAAATTGAACATAGATTTATTTTGTGCAAAATAAATAAAAAACTCGATGAAAATTTAAAATTGGCATCAAATTTTGATATGCTTTGTCTTATAATTAAATTATTCTTCCTAATAGCTTTTTTGGTTATTCAAATAAGAAATTGTGTCAATTAAATTCAATTCGATCGCATTTCTGAATAAACCACAATATTTTCTTATCGCTACATGAAATCAATACATATTTTCAATTGCAGCAGTAGTTAATTTGGGTCAAAATAAGCATAAAATTGGAGTCAAAATTATGTCATTTTATTTTGACGTTTCATAGACATACGGTTTCTGATGCAAGAAAGCAAGGATCGATTACAAATTATCTTGATCTGTCGATATTTTAAAGAATGGCTTCTTTTGTTTTTTATTTACTGTAATACTGTACTGTAATATAAAAAAATATAAGAGGGAGATAAAGTAAGAACAACTTGTGAAAGGTATTAATTATCGCGTGACACTCTCTTTTGAAATAAATACAAATAAATATTCCCTTCGTTCATAATTTGTAGATTTATTTATTCAGACTTCTTCTTCACCTTCAACATCTTTTATGAATTGTTGCGATTTCATGTTTATGTCGCATTATACGAGTAGTGAATAATGTATAGGTAGTATACGGTGAACTAGTCTTTAGGTATCCGTAGTATAGTACTTAGTTGTATTTAATGGAAAAATTAGTATTTTCGAGTTTTTGTGAAATATTTAAAATTGTATCTTCCAATATTTAGGTAATAATTAATGTGGAGGTCGCAGCTACCAAGCGTCATTGTTACAGAAATAAGTGTGATTCTACATAATAGATCATGAAGTAACTTTTAAACTTTGGTAATTTTGACATTAGTGGGATTAGTCCACAGGTGAATTTTATTTATGAAAATAAAACAGACGTAAGACCAACCCTAAAAGGGAGGGGCTGTTAGAAAAAGCAACTGTGTGATATCACTCTTCGGTATTTTTTTTTTAATAAAGACCAGTTGTAAATGTAGTAGATTTACTGTGAGGAAAACTCCCAGACGTGAATTACACCTCGGAAGAGGAAAAATTAAAGTTGGATGCGAAAATTTCAACAAAAGCGAAATTAATTGGATTTGCAAGATGTTAAACAATTTTTAAGGCATTAGGAAGCTTTATGTTTTTAGATTGGCATCATGGTGTGCTTGTAACAAGTGTTATTTATTTGTTTATAATTATAAATCAGTCAAATCAACTTCGGTTAATTTCTAGCAACTTTAAACTCTTCCACTATGTGGAAAGCTAATGGTTTCTTATCTACTTATAATTTATAATTATTATGTCATATTCCTTGTGTTTACTTGCAAACATTTAAAAATGGCAGCTTGCTATGAAAAACGATTCTGAAATATCCCTTGCCAAATTATCGATAACAATAGCTGTTAATTAATTACATTATAATTAGTCTGCTAGAATTATTTTTGCTTTGTCAAGGACATGACGGTTCACTACTCAATACAAATAAAAATAAAAATCTGACTTTTAATTCGGTTGACCTCACAGTAATTAAAATTAATAAATGTCAATTGTCTTTGGGTTTGTGGGGTATATTGAGATAAATATTTTTTATATTATGTATTATTGTATTTGACTTTCATTTTAGCGTTATTTTTTAATCGAAAAGGGTATATTAGTTTATGGAAAAGGCCCTAATGAAATAAGTAAAGGAAAAATCCATGGTACTGTCGATATTGGTTTGTCTGTGATCACTACGAAAAGCAAAAGAAAACGAATAGATATAGATGCGGAAGAATTTATTTATCATTTGAAAGCTAAAAGTGAAGACGCTTTTACGAGCTGGGTGCAACAACTTACTGCTCATCGATTATATAGGCAACATATTTTGACGTATGGGACGAATGTTGGCACTCTTTTTAAACCGACTGATGGCTTACATAGTAAGTTGGCATTAAAAAAATATATCAAAAAATAAAAATAAATCTGAAGGTATACCCAGGACTCCTGAAATAGTAAGTCGTGATGGCAGCCTTACTCGAGGCTTGCAACCGCCATCTAGTGGCGGTCGTCTCAGTTTATGGCTCCAGGAATCTCTCTCTTCCCTCGAACAATTTCAAAGAGATACAACAAATGTCGAACAAAACGTAACGAAGTTATCGCGGCTTTTACAACAAATTGAAGCTAGTGCTATTTTGGGGACAGAGGTTGTGCCAACTGGATTAAGGCTTGATTTAAGTAAGCACTTTCAGGTGGTTGAGGCACTCTCACCCAATATTAAAAAAGATAGAAGGAAGTTTGGTTTGAAGAAGAAAAAGTCGTCCAAAGGTGGCAGTGTTGATTTAACAATTCAGTTCAGTGCGGCTAATAAATCAACAGGAACCGACGCTGACAATACTTCGCCGTTGTCTACAAATTCTTTTTCAGCACTTTCGACATCACCTCAGCAACTTGGAGTCAATGCTGTGGCCAGTTTGCCAGTGCCTAACGCTTCAACAATTCCAACTCCTGATAGTCTTAGTAATGTAGATGTTATCTCTCTGTCAACAGAAAATCAACTTAGGGAAGATTTTTTGTCTTTGGCCAAAACTGGTACTTGACTGATTACTCTTTGTGGTTTTTATACTTAAGAGGGATATTTTCAGTCCTTGGAAGTCTTAAAACTGTAACTTTTGGCTTAAGTACTGAACGTGAGCGTCTTAAGTCAGCTTTAGAGTTAGAAGGAACCATAAATGTCAATCAAAGCGTAGTTAATTTAAGAAATAATCTTAACCAAGTTCTTCAGCAAAACACCGAACTCAAAAGTCGTTTGTTGCGGATCCATGAAGCTTCAGATCTAACCGACTTGTCTTCGTTAGAGCAGCTTTCGGAAAACGTGAGTCAGTTTTTGGTTTGGTTTATTGAAATTTTGTCGTGTTTTTGATAGCATCGTCCCTATAACGCTTCGTTGAGCTATAGTTCCTCGTGTGTCAGCGCAACTGAATTTTTCGATGCCGAAGATTTGCCCACTGAAAAAACCATCTTGGATATTGAAGATCCAGAAATACAAGAAGAGGAATCTGAGGTGCGTACACGTTCTGAAAGTAGTTCGGAGGCGGGCTCGCTCTCCAGTGGAGAAGGAAGCATCAGTTCAGAGTCTGAACTCGGCACGGAGCTAAACACAGTCAATAATTCTCTAGATTTGGCAGGTAGGTTGACGTTTGGTTGTGGTTTTCGGTTTGAAAGGAAACGAAGTCGAAAGTTCGAGATGAAAAGGTGAGTCAGTAGCAATGTACCCATTATACCCCTATATTATGTTTTATCTTTGTTCTTCCGTTATCAAAACAACTGTTTTTTTTTTAAGGAAACCCCAAAAATTACACAAGGTAAAATAAAGTAGGCTGCACAGTCAAACATCTTTATTTATATTTCCAAATGGTTAAAGGTAAAAAAAGTCACTTTTCAATTGTTCAATTCAAAAAAATTTGGCAATTTGGCAATCAATTGTTATCATCCTGAATTTGAAATTATGTATATTAAATTTTAAATTATTACAAAATGTAATTATTTCTGTGGGTATTTAAAATCAAAAAAGTAAAACGTGAAGGGTGGTGAAGTCAACGCCTTCCCGAAGTCGTTAATACAATTTCAAATTCAGGATGATGATGGCAATTGTTTGCCGAAACGTGTTCCTTCTACGACATTAACTTATTATTATTTTTTTACAATTTGGAGAAGTGACTATGCTACATTCAACCCTTTCAATTTCATCTAATCCTCTTGGAGAAAATGGAATAATTTCGTCGTTTATTTCCATTATTTTTGACATATTTGTGCTAATTGTAACATATACTTAATTATTTTGATCCATGAATTTCTAGGTTAATTAATTTGAAACATTTTTTTACAACAAAACTGGCAAATACCTATTTTAACTACAAAATATGAGTTGGCTGTGCTGCCAAGCATCAACATTTTTTCACTTGTTTGACACTTGAGTGATTTTGGCATTTTGCACTTATTTAATTTTGAAAAACTAATATCTTGTAGGTACTACTATCTAAATTAGTTCCTTCTACATAACCTAAGTATTTTGATAGATTTTATATTACTTTATTTTTGGGCAAAAACGAGAAACTATAATAATGGGCAGTATGAAGTAGGTTGTGCGACGTTAATTTCCTTAATGCGTTTTTGTAGTATCCCTTTATTTTAAATAATGTTCGTTTTTACATTCAATTTATTCATTACATTTTCATTCATTTACTTTTAAAAAACCTTGAAGGGTTCTTCATTCTTCAAAATTTGAAGGGCTCAATTTTGTCATTTTGTTGTCAAAATATGACAATAATGTGATAGTTTTACGTTTGTGTGCGCCTAGTTTTTCCAAAATTTTTTCATTTTTTATGGGTGGCAAAAAGCGAAATCATCTCTTGTGCAAATTTTACTTAAACCAAGGTATCAGAAATGGGTGACATCCCTACTGACTCGCTCTCCCTTCGTCTCGAAATTTACATTCTGTTTTTGTAGGTTCCCAGAGCTTGACCGGTCGCCGGACAGTGCTCCCCGCGCCACGCCCCCACACTGAAGGTCTCTCCCTATGGAATCTTCTCAGCAGAAACATAGGCAAGGACCTGTCCCAGATAAGCATGCCCGTGGCCCTTAATGAACCCCTCAACGTCCTTCAGAGACTGTGCGAAGAGCTTGAATATTCCGATTTGTTGGACAAGGCGGCATCTTTGGACGACCCGTACGAGCGTATGGTCCAAATAGCTGCATTTGCCGTTTCTGCCTATGCCAGTACTCTCACTAGAGCCGGAAATAAGCCTTTCAATCCTCTTTTGGGAGAAACGTATGAGTGCATTCGGGAGGATAAAGGGTTTAAATTTTTGGCTGAACAAGTTTCGCATCACCCCCCCATCAGCACTTGTTATGCGAAAAGTAATAATTTCACGTTTTGGCAAGATGCAAGGGTGAAAACAAAATTCTGGGGAAAAAGTATGGAGTTTCAACCGCTAGGGAGTGTTCACGTGTTATTACCCCGAACCGGAGATTTGTACACGTGGAATAAAGTCACCACGTGTGTCCATAATTTATTTAGTGGACAAAGATGGGTCGATCAGTATGGAGAGTTAAGAGTTAGTAACGGACGAATCACATGCAAGTTGACTTTTAACAAGGCCAGTTATTGGTCAGCAAAAAGGCACGAGGTGAGTCTACGGTCATAGTTGCGCTTCAGAAATTAATTTGTTTTCCAGGTCGTGGGGGCCGTTTTCGACGAGTCGGGTAAGACGGTGCACCGTTTATTTGGTAAGTGGTCGGAATCGTTGTATTGTGGGGTTCCCCCATCGGCTCGATGCATTTGGAGGGCGGGGAATTTACCTCCGAACCACGAACGATACTATGGATTTACCCGATTCGCAATCGAACTGAATGAATTAGGCCCAGATGCACATTTGTTGCCGCCTACTGATACCCGATTCCGGCCTGACCAGAGAGCACTGGAGGAGGGTGATTTGAATACGGCTGAAACTCTCAAATTACAGTTAGAGAGTGCACAGAGAGACCGCAGAAAGAGGAGAGAGGAATTGAATATTAGATATGAGCCGCGATGGTTCTCGAACCAGAAGGATGACATGTGGGAGTACAATGGGAAGTACTGGGAGATGCGGAAGAATCCGGGATTTGCTAATATGCAATTCGAGTCGTTGTGGTGATTAGCAATACCCAATTTTTAGGCTAAACCAGTGATTTACGTGCAATTATAGTGATTTTAGTATTGAAATTGTTTCCTTATGAATGCCATGCTTGTTTGTATCGAGCGATCAAGATAATTTGTAATCGAGTCTTCTTTGCATCCGAGAATGTCTGTTTTTGAACTAACTGCACATGAAACGTCAAATAAAAGTCGAAAGGTAAAACGTCAAAATGGGTTGGAATTAGTCGCCCACGTATAATAAATACAAGTAGGACCGTTCTTTTTTGAAGGTAAATTATAAATTTAGGTATTATAATCATCACCTTTTTGATCATGCCACTTTACCTTTCAACTTGTCATTTTACTTGACATTTTACAGACATACATTTTCGGATCCAAGGATGACACGATTACAAATTACCTTGATCGCTCGGTATAAACCGGTCGTTTCAGAGTTACTATTTTATTTTTAAGCAATAAGGGTTTTAAATGATTCTAATGGAATGAAGTGTAGTGATATATCTATTAGTTTTTAAGTAGAGTGGCATTTTAGTTACGTAGCTAATGCAAAAATCATTTGTTTATTGATAAGAAATAAAAAATTCCACTTTGAACTTTCCTATCTAGTCACTAATTACTGTTCAATAAAGTTAAATAATGTATTGTTATTGTTGTAACTTAATATTTATTTTTATGTTAAGAAATGTTAAGAAATTTCTTTTATCGTTTTTGATGTTTCGGAAAACATGTAATTGCTACATTGTTTATAAATTAAAGTGTCTTTTCGAATTCTTGTAGAATTAGTTGGATTTTTATGTCAATGAAGAGTGACAATAATCACTACAACGCCAATTGTTTAAAAAAGCTTCATTTTTTAAATATGCGCATTGCTTTCACAGAACCTAACTAGATGTTATCATTTATTTGAAATTCTGTTATAAATTTGTAAAATGCTCTTTTAAAGGTGAAGGTTAAATAAAAATGTTAAACATTAAAAATTTTTCAGCTTTCCTAGCTCTAATTGCAATAAACTCATTTCAAGCTAGCGATATGGGTGTCTATCAACTACAAACTATACTTTAAGTTCTATTATTTACTCATAATTTAATAATTTTTTCAAACAAAAGCCAAGTTGTCTGTGAGAATGTATTTTGGGTTGTATCTGAAAGTCAGTTAGTCTTTATTACTTGACGCACCCTTTCTTTCAATTTTCAAACAGAAAAAAACTTCGTAAAAATTACAGAAGTGGCGACAGCTATAGCGCGAAATATACATGATTGTCACTTTTATACCAGTTTTCTTGGTCCATCAACTGTAAGTACTTACAGTACGTTCAAAAATGCATATGACAGAAATATTATACAAAATGATTTTCCATTAGTGAAAAATTATGATGAAAATCTTTTTCTTTTATTAAATATCAAATCATGACCGTCAAATTTAAATATATTCTTTTTGGATTAGTAGTTTTGATGTTATCGATAGGCAACCAATTATACAAACGCAGTGAATTTGTCAAATATAAAAAAAAATTGAAGAATATACTGTGTTAGTAAAAACAAACAGGTGGTTAAAGTATTCCTACGATAAAACCATGGTCTTTGCTCTGAAATGAATAAATTTTGTTAAAATTTGCCACTTAGCTTATAGAGCCCTGTTTTATCCTGAAATTTGACAGGTGCATCAGTGGCGGCCCAACCAGTAGGCGCACCACATGATCAATACAAGTATAAAATTAACTATCACGTACCAGTGTGTAATCAAAAGTAACGTGGCCCGAAGCGCACCAAATCTCCAGTGACAAATCGTTGGCGCCCGCGACTCTGCACTATGTTATCGTCGCGCCCCAATTCATCTTTGACAAGCCGCGTAAGAGTCGCGTTGTAATTTGTGACATATCGTGTTTGTAAACAGTGACAATATGCCAGTGATTTTGCTCGACCGGTTGCCTGTGCCCAATCTGCGGATGTATTCCGCGGGCAGCGTCTTGGCCCTTTCGGCGTGCATCTACTACGCCACACAGGTGATCAAAGATCCCGACTGGGGGGTCGTCTCAGAAGACCTCAAAGACTCGAACAAGAGCAACGCCTCTGTACCCCATGGCAGGACCATGGGACAGTTTGTCTCCGACGTGTTCAGTGTTATGATCAGGGAGCCCGTCTGTGTGTGGGTAAGTGCCGGCTGATGCACCCGGATTTTTCCGGATAACCGGAAAGTATGGCGCAATCATGAGATAAAATTACCGTAAATTGCATTCCACGAAATAAATAGAACTGGCCGTCAAAAGGTATGTCGCTACTTAATACGACAAAAATTAATTTTCCTCAAGACCTCGTCAATCAGTTGTAATTTAAAATCGAATCAATTTCTCATTTTTAATTAATTCTTTATGCATCAGAAGCGTTACTGAATAAAGTAACTGTCCCGCTATCCAAAGATTTCTTATTAAATTGTTAATGACTTCACATTTTCGAAGCGACATAAATCATCATATTAAATAAGAATTTCAAGACTCCGATCTCATCATTAAGTCCGGGCTGCCTCATATTTTATTTGCAATTTTCTAAAATTTGTTCAATCATCTGGGAGAGACCCAGATTCTCGATTGAATTTTTCAATCTCAGCCCTCATGTTTAAATTTCACAATGCAATGCTAATTATTCATATCATTCAATTAGACTTTAATAAAATTATCACAAACGACTGCTCCTCATCCTGCACAAGTAATTTAATAAGTAAATGCTTTGTTCATCGACCTGTTTCAAAACAAAGGGCTCGTAATTGTCTACATACGTCAAAAACAAATGTTTGATTTAAATTTTGTTGTCGGCTAAAGCAAATTTTGGTAGGGGAGGGTGGATCAAAACGATGCCAAAATGGGTTCAGAGTGCTATGAAATCGTCAGCCTTCTTGATTTCTATTTAACTTAGAAATTTCATTGAGACGTGGTATATTTTTTGCTCATGTTGTTACTCAGTCGATATTTCACATAATTCCACAATCGTTTGAAAGTTTTTCTAATAACAATCATTTGCGATTACCAAATTAAGGTTTTGACATGCAATGTGCCGTTTTATTCTTTTTGAAAGCAAGGCTTTAATTTTTCCGAAACTCGTTTGGACGTAATAAAATCGATTTTGTCAACTTTCAAGGTGATTTGGGGTAGGTTTGGTTTATTTCTTCAATTAGGAAGTATAGATAAAAGAGTGAAACGTAATTAATGTATGCAGAAGGTCGAATAGTTGTTAATTGCAGATACTTGATTGTTTCCCCATAAGATTTTTTTAAATAATGTTTTCCCATTTTTAGTGTCAAATGAAGCTATACACGTGTCGAAGTCACTTCCAGGTCATAGTAAATAAGCAATAACATTATTATAGTTCTTAGGTATTCCCAATTATAACAAATCTATTTTAATCGAAGGAAATTAATTTTGAATGGTGTATGCTGTTCCAAGTAGGAGTCTTCCTACAATTTTTCGAGATGACAATTTTATAGAGTTTCATTATTAATTGTTTATTGTTGTGGTGCTTTTGTTACTGTTTACAGTTTGAGAAAATTGTGAAACATAGAAATAGACAAACGAAGAATTATCATTTGCTAAAAGTTGTTAAAAAATGTGCTAAAAATTGTGAAACTATGTTTATAAGAGAAAATTTCATTATTGTCGATTTTTAATTTATTTGCTGGTGGGGGTAGTGTGAATCAAGAACACGACGACATGACCTCTGTTTGTTTTTGCCATTTGACAGCTTCTAACATTTAGAAATGGTACTAAAGTGGTAATTGAAAGTTTCTCTCTCTGGTTTTAGGTTTTATAGGACTTGAATTAATTGAAGGGGTTATTGCAAAAACGTGACAATCTACACATTTTTTTACAATGACATCAAGACTTTAGACAAGCCACAAAGTCACGAGTTTGGGTATTTTCCAAAAGATTTGTGGAGGTTACTGTCTGAGTTACTGCATTTATCAAAAAACCTAGGAGCTACAATATCAAAATATTAATTTCATAAATTTATCTGAAACTCAAGTCGTATTTCTCAATAATTTGATTATGTGGTTTATCACGTTTTAACAGTAAGGCCTTCAATTATGATTGTTAAAATGATATAGAGGGTATAAATTATAAATATTACCCTCAAAACAGTTTTTTCCATTATAAATGAAATCACAAATGACCTACTTGACGGCAAGATACACTTGGCGTACGTCACTAGCTCTGCGTTACTTTAATCACATTTGTTAAAGGGTGATAAATAGCCTGACCGATTTTACACAAATACGTAGCGACAGAGCAGCGAGGTTGTTTACAAATGTTGAAAAAAGATAGCTATAAGTACGTTTTTCGAATTATTAATTGATCCATACGCATATAATAAATAAACGGACTATACGTGACCGCAAAGTACACTTTTGACGTATGTCACTAGCTCTGCGTTACTTTAATCGCATTTGTTAAAGTGAGATAAATAGCGTGACCCACCTTACCCAAATACGTATTCTATAGCGACAGAGCAACAGGACTGTTTACAAAATAAATGTTGAAAAGTGATAGCCATAAGTACGTATTCGTGTTATCAATTAATTCACATGCATAATGAAAAAAACAGTCTTTACTTCTACTTTAAGATTGTTTAGTATAAAATAGTAAACAAAATTTATCATCACTTGTAGTACAAATGTAAACCATTACAAAATACAGGATGTGCCAAAACTTCCGCCCCAGAGAAAAATGCCCTGTAAGGTTAGATACCAGGAACATGAAAAAATGTAAAAAAAAAATCTATCTATAAAAATTTCGAAGTTATGGGTTTAAATTTTGCACTTTGACTATTTATTTCCGTTGAAAATACGACAGTTGCTATTAGCAACGTAACTAATTCGCATATTAGTCACGGCTTGTCAAGATGTATATAAAAGGTCACTTAGCGTCACGGAAACATATACGATAATCCGTGTTTTAGATGTGGAAGTGGAAAAAAAACACATAATACAAGATCATCAGTATCATTAAATAGACATAAAAAAATGTCAAATGTCAAAAAATTTTAACTGGTAGAATTTTTTAAACATTTTTTCCATGATATCCATCTTATCTTAATTGAAATTTTTCTCTGGGGTGCGAGTTCTGAGACACCTGTATAAAGTTACACAAAGTTTCGGTCCATTAAATGGCGAAACCGAGTGGCAATTTAAATCTAATAATTAAAACCAGTCTGTTATCTTTTAGCAGTTTTCTGGGTAATCCCCATTTTCATAAAATCATTATCATTTGTTGTTAATAAATTTATATGTAGACTTGTCGATTAAAAAATCTTTAAACAAATTTTTAAATATCTCGGTGCTATTTTATTTTTAGCCACTTTGCGTTTATTTTTTAGCATTATTTTTAAGTTGAGATTAAACCAGACGCTTGTCCTTCAAATCGTGCACAGCGAGAATGTTGTTTTCGAATTAATTGTTCACTCAGACGGTTAAAAAATTAAATGGCACTACGTTCTGTCAAAAGCTGAATCATGGAACAAAGTACTGTAGGTGGTTCGATTCTCTTATCAATGACTCACGAATTATATGTTGATATCTATTTTTAACTAGGTGTAATAAAATTGCATATAAAATAACAAAAATGATAATATGTTACGCATTTTGTGTAAAAAATCTAACATAACTTTAGGTATAGTTTGTGATTTTATTTTAAAAGAGCAACTCTCGATTAGTTTGCAATAAAACATTATTTGTAATAAAATTGGAGGAAATAAAAGCGTTCAAGGTTGAAATATTTAAGTCGAGTTCTAGGTATGTAGTTCACTTTTTTGTGGAGGAAAAAATTTGCTTGATGTTATTGTTATAATTGTCGATTGTTTTTATAGACACGTCACATGTGCGAGAGTAATTACTAATTACCAAAGAAATTGTTAATTTATTCGAATTTTAATTTTACTTAATAGTACGTAGTTGCATTTAAGTTTCAATAGATTGGTTTGTGATATTTATAAATAGAGCATGGAATAATGTTCGGTATGGAAGCGTTGAAAATTCACACGATTGAAGCGAGTTATTTATCAAAAGGCAGAAGCACGAACTCGGGCTTTATTTATTTTTAATTTCGTCTTTTCGATAAAAAATTTCATCAAAATAGGTAAAATTTGTTGTTTCGATTCTAACTTTTGCTCAGTTTCAAACACGAAACCTTTACATGTTTATGTTAATGGTCTTAGCGACCTTTGTTAAATCTTAATCATAAGAGAATCTAAAATTAAAACATGTATAATTACAGATCTAACAACATTCGTAATAATTCTTCAGACTTGTACGAATTTTAATTTTTTCCACGGGAACTTTCTCTAACATAAAAAATAACGAAGTTTCAAGTTTTTTGTTTCACTGTTACATAAACTCAAAAATATGTCAGTTAAAAGAAATGAAAAAATGGGAATAACTGCAGTAGCTTGGAACCACTCCAATCTGGCAAGTAGAAAAAATAATCTTTTCTAAGTGACGTTTTCGCTTCGTTACTCGACAATCTAGTATTTTTAGCACCACCCGGTTTATAAATACCACCTTTTTCGATGGTTACCTGTCTAATAATATTTTGAAAAAAATCTGATGCTGTAGTTATGATACAACAACATACGTCTATGACTAGATTCGATGACGTTAAATTCGAAAGAAGGACCAAAAGGACGTGCCAGCGAATTTTATTATTTACACGTGTTTGCCAATTCGGGCTTGTGCCAATCTTTTTGTTTATTGTTTACAGTGAAATGTCCAAGGAGTAATTATTATTGTTCCAGAGAAAAGCTTGAAATTGGCAACAGGAAAAATTTTCATGGCCAACTTAAATAAAAGTATTGTTTGAGACTGCATAACTAAATTATGTTAAATTGTAGCCACAATTTTAAATTTTCATTTTGGTAGAATTTAGTGCAATAGTTCCATTTCTTAAATTGTCATTTAAAAGAATGATACCTTTTTTTTATTACATTGTTTATAAAGAGGATATCGATTTGGCAAAGGATGTAGGAGCTATTAAAGAAATATTATTTTAGGTTTTTTCATTTTTCGTCACCGCGAGCTTGTGTCACAAGCTACTCGTATCACATGAGTGTTTGTGACACTTGTTTTTTAATATACTATTGTAAAATCAACTTTTTTTATTTTTAAATAAAGGCTTGGCGAAATTATTTTATTCATCCTTCCCAAAGTTGGAAATCTGAATCTAGATTAGAGTAATCAAAAATACATAACAAATCATTTCATTTAATAGTTATTTATTGGAGTCTGCGGCGAAAATATTATATAAATATATAATATGTAATTGCCGCGAAAACTTTGGTTAGAACGATTTTACAATGTCAAATGGAGTAAACATTTATTTTTTTATTTATTAACAATTTATTTATTTAATAAAAATTGTTGAAATAGTATAAAGTGAAGGTTTTGTTTATGTAATCATCTCAACGAATCAAATTCTAGATCTAGCTTTAACTTTAAGTGCGTATGATAATTTTGAATTTATGGTTAGAGAGAAGAAAAATTCCGACTATTCTCGAAATTCGAATGGATTTAAATCAATCTGTCGTATTTTTATTTTCATTGTTTGATTAATCTGTCAATCTGTTATACATACAGAGTGGAATTTTGAACTGGAATAAAATTCATGGAAAGGAACGATATCCATTTTAAATACATATTTGTTGCATCATATAGGATTCATCTTATAAGATTGGTTTTATTTTTTATCACGTAGACTTTGAAAATAATCAGAAAATTAATAGTACATTGTATTCTTTGCGTGGAGGGAGAAACAACTGGAGGGAGCATAAGCACTGAAAACGTGTGTCATGAGCAAACACCTTTTATGATCCTTTTGAAAGTGCGCGCTCAAGCTTTTTTCCCCACTATCAATTTGGATGCAGTGGTGTAGTCAATGTTTTTTTACATTCAGTTAACTAAATACACCACCGATTAACATTAAGAATTAACACTAAAACTTAAAACTTGGCAGATTGTTTAAAAAAACTGTTAAACCAAAGTTAATAAACACAAAAATCAAAAGACAACGTGGAAAAGACGGACACAATAAGACGCCCATTATATCAACTGATTCGAAAAAGAACTTTTGACTTGCGCACTGATTACACATTTATGCGGGAGATTCAAAAAAGGTCGTAAAAGGTGTTTGCAGCTCGACCAAAAATCTAACATAGCCTCCCTCTACGATTCTTTGCAAAACGACCTTTCAAACGAGGTGTAACTTGTCATTTAAAAAGAAGTTATAGGTGGCTGTGCATTTCAGAAAGCAGATAAACAAAAACCATGTGTCAAATGATGCGCAAGGAAAAATAAAAATCGACCTGTTTCAGGATTTCTTACAAAAATCGCTTATATTCAAATTATGAATTTTATTCCAGTTAAAAAATCCACTCTGTATATACATACTACATTGATAAATCTTTCTTTTCTTCCTATCCGATCTTTATTTTTTTTTACTTTACGCGAGTCGAACACAGGCATCAGGTGAAAACCTGTAGCCGTTTACGGAAGACCAGTACCGTTTCAGGCGCCTTGAAAATCCTGAAATACGTGATCATCTCCTCGTTGCACTTAATGCAGTAAAAAATCTCAAGGCTCTTGCCTGAATAGAAGTTCAAGTGCTGTTGTTATTTTTCTTTTAATTTAATTTTAATTACTTGGAGAAAAATCGCAGAGAAGGTACTCTCTCATTATTTTTCGATTAAGTGATGCAAACATGACCTAATTTCGGAGCGCTTGCTAAATCCAGAATGGGATCTTTGATGAAATATGTCGTGGGAGTGTTAAAGCGAGATGACAATTGTCTGGAAGGTTTTTGTGCACTTTCGGCATAAATTATGTGGCATTTCTTAGAGTGGATTTGTGGATCTGACTTGCGATGGATTAATGATGTGATGATGGCGATTTTTCGATCGGTAGGGCGATTAATGAGAGTACCTAATTATTGTTGTTATCGTGGTGTTATGTTTTGTTAAATGTAGAAACGGATTCGTGGATCGTTGTTTGTTTAGATTAGAAAACTTTCATACTTGTGCTGCTTTTTTGCTAAGAAATCAATCGGTTTTCTTTGTTGTGATATTAGCGTTTAGTGCATGTTAAACGTCCGTAAAATTCAGTAATTGAGAAACAAAATAGTTAATATATGTACGCAATGAGCCGTTTTTAATAAATTAGTTACAGGGTGTTTCACATAATTTTAGAGGCCTGCGCCTGTAAGATGCAATCAATAATACATATTCCGATACGAACTCGATTACAAATTTTGAAAAAGTGGATAATCTTCTCTAGTTTGTTCACCCTTTTAAAAATTACAACGTTTTCAGTTAGTTAGTGATTAAAATAGATAAACTACAATCATATTCATACCGTCTCTTGATAGAACAAATGATAATTGTTTCTGAAAAACTGCAGTTTATAACTATTAATGAAACAATGGTTAGTTTGACAACTACTGTCATGGGTTTCCAAAAATTAAATAATTAAATGTGTACTTTTTGTATCCAGTGTTCTGTGACTTTTGTATATTTGGGTGCGTACATTAGGCGCAAGCCTCGTAAAGTTATGTGAAACACCCTGTATAATTAATTGGCTGAATGATTTGTAGGCGACAAACCTAAAAAAATATTTACATATACAGTAACAGAATTCCTTGGACTTGACTTCAAAATGATTTGAATCTAGGTTAAAAAATGTCAAGATATTTTTTTGTGAGACTTGATTATTATTTGTTTTTATCCATGCTTATTGTTGTATTGTTGTAGCAACGTTAACAACTATGTTGTTACACATGTTTGCTTTGTTATGAAAGAAAAGCATACTTACTCGAAAGACTGCTTGCATTAAGTTTGACATTATAGTTTTTAATAATTTGCTCAGAAACTTTTTATATCACCTATCACAAAATGTACAATTGCGGACACATATTTTTTTAAACACAAAATTTACCTATGTCAATTCAAAAAATGTCATTTCAATTAGTCACTCTTTATTGACATTATGATTGCGACGTTGCCTGGGTGGCGGTGGCTTTGGCACAGGTAATATTCAAATTATTTTTGATTCCTAGTATTATGCGGGGTAAGTTATGGTTTGAATCCAGGTTTTACTATTATTATGAAATAAAATAAATACATAGATATATCTCGGAACTTCTCTATCGCCACTTCTGTCACTTTTCACAATGTATTTTCTGGTTCAAAATTTGTCAGTAGGGAGGGTTCAGTTGTAACACAGGTTCTTCTTTTACATAGTAATCAAATGTTTCTGACTTATTTCACCTCAAAAAATGCAGTTGCGACGTTGCCAGTGTGGCGATAAGAATGGGACGAAATATACGTGTTTTAGGAGTAGAATTTTTAAATACAATTTAAAAAATATTTGCAGTATTGCAGTAGAAGTGTTTTTGTGAAACATTTTTTACCTCAAGTATCCAGTAAGCCTCATATTTTTCTTTTTGAAAGTCTGCTCCTCAGTTATAATAGATAAATAAGTTGTTTTAAATTCGGAAATCAATTGATCTTCTTCTCATGTTAAATTACTATCATTATTAGGATAACCAAGTCTATTATCTGTACAAATAAATAAAAATTTAAGTGATTCACATTTAAGTGAGTTTATTATTGAATATTCTTATTATGGTGCCATGTTTTCGTTGCTTCATCAGAAGCAGAACCAAGAATACTAAGCTCATTATTTTTCGAAAGATTACATAATATTACCAAAACGAGCTAATCTATAAAAAATATCTAATTTTTTGTGGTACCATTTCTTCAACCAACAAAATAGTAATTTTCAATCTCAAAGGAAAATGAACTGCGGCGAGTTAAACGAACTCGAAATCCCTGACCCACTAGTTACTTTACACCGAGTGGAAACAATAATCGAAAAAAGTCGGCTTGATTAGCTTTCGAAACATCCAATTGAAGCAATTTCTTATTTCCAGACCATGATCAACATGGCTTTCTGTTGGCTGATTCTCATCGGTACCGCTGTCCAGAAGTTGGTGTTTGGCGAATTACGCGTCTCCGAACAGCAACATCTCAAAGATAAATTTTGGAATTTTGTATTTTATAAATTCATTTTTGTATTCGGAATCATCAACGTTCAATACATCGATGAGGTGTTGCTGTGGTGCTCATGGTTTTCCCTTTTGGGATTTCTGCATCTACTTTCCCAGCTCAGCAAAGACAGATTTGAATATGTAAGTACCGGTGTTTCTCTTATTCGCAAATAACCGAATTTTTTCAGCTGTCTTTTTCGCCGACCACGCCGTTGTGGAGTCATGTGAAGCTTTTGGCCTTATTGGGTGGCATTTTCGCACTGTCGGGCTTCATGCTGCTAGTGTCGGTTTTTGTGGGATTCTTTGGCGGATTTAATACGTTTGCTTTCATGTCTGCTGAGGTATGTAATTTCTTACGTAGATTATGCATCATGCATGTTTTATTGCTTAAGACGCCACCTGCAACGAACTTCAACTTGGATTCCAAATCTCCAAGTCTTGGAGACGACAATGATTTATGTAATTTGTTTCTATTATGGTGTTTTCAATAGGAAAAACACGATTTTTACCCTGATGACATTTTGTTACAACAGATGAAATAACTTTAACATTTATTGCCAATATCAACATTTCCAGAGTGAAAAGTTTTTTGTTTATCAGTCGTTTGCTTGCCCTCGAAATAACTTTCAATTCCATGGTTCGTTCAGAATTAAACTTTCATGGCTACCTTTGACGCCAAATTAAAAAAACATCCATTATGTTCAGATGAAACAGGCTGTAAGTTTGTAATTTTTGAATTTTGAATGCCTAAGTTTTTACATTATTTTAGTAACCTTTAAACTTTCGAACATGAGTAATAATTCACTCTTTAGTTCAGTAGAGAGTAACAAGTTTGCAAAATTTTAAACCTGGGTGTTGTGGGTGTTTATTGCAGCATTTTAATATCGAAGTTTTAGTCATTTTAAAAGTTATTTACTCGAATTTATAAACATAAATTAGGTAGGTGTATGAATCAACATATAATTAAAAATTTACTCATTTATGTTTCATAATTTTTAAATTGTTTTTTCTACTTGTTGTGGTTATTTATTTAAAAAATACTAATGATGGTCTTAATAAATCAGAAAATATATCACTGACGTCAATAGTTGCAAGACGTAGATATTTTATTTCATACAATTTAATGGTGTAAGATTTGCAATTTGGATTGAACGATTTTTTTCTATAGACGTACGGAATAATTTAGCGTTTAATCACCTAAATGTTTCGTATAAAGTTTTAATTAACTCATAAGACGCGTTTCATTTAACCCATGAATAATTAATTTTAATTCTAATTGTTTCTGTTAGGACAATATAGTTTCGTAGAGGTAATTAGTGATTCTGATTACAGTTTATTTCTCACGAATGCAATTTTTTCTAGTGATAATTGGATGTTTTCCAACCGCTTTAATCCAGTTATCATAGTGATGAATTTCTATTTTTATAAATAATTACTATGTGTTTGTATGATGTATTAGTAGGTACCATACTTGAATCGAGCAAATTTATCTCTATAGAAGACTATGACTTTGTCTCTATAACCACAATGAATTGTGACAAAGTGACACTGACAATGCGGTTGTCACCTGAATTGATTATTTCTAATTTATATTGGCTACAAATATTTCACAGCCTTCTAGACATAATTTTTCGTTGTTATATGGTCCGAGTATTTTCTTTCTTATTTTCAGGTTGTTTTATTGAGTATTCGTACTCTGCATGTGATAATTCGCTACGCTTTGCATCTGTACGACATGCGACAAGAAGGCGCGTCTTCAGTCAATGCGAACGATGAGAATCGAGTCTGGGAAAAACGAGGTCCCATTGCTTATTACACGGAATTGAGTTTTGAACTGACAGCTTTAATAATCGATTTCGTTCATCATCTTCATATGCTAGTTTGGAGTAATATTTTTCTGTCGATGGCTAGTCTAGTAATTTGTATGCAGTTGAGATATTTATTCCATGAAATTCAACGACGCTACAAAAAACACAGAAATTATCTGTGGGTCAGGAATCATCTCGAACAGAAGTATGTTTACGTTATTAATCATTCTTAGAAAATAATAACGTTTCGGTTTAGTTACCCAATGGCGTCGTCCGAAGAATTAGCCGCTAATTCCGATAACTGCGCCATCTGTTGGGAAAAAATGGAATCGGCGAGGAAGTTACCGTGTACTCATTTGTTTCACAAGTAAGTTATATTCAAATATTTTGAAGGAAACATTTTATTTGTTTTTTTTTCAGCACTTGTTTATTGTCGTGGTTGGAACAAGACACTTCCTGTCCAACTTGTCGTCTAGCACTCAACATTCAAACTCCTTCAACGTCGAGAATCGATCCTCCTGATTTGCAAGTGGACGCTCCTCAGCCTCAACGTCGCCAACTCAATCATTTCTTCCATTTCGACGGTTCGAGATACGTTTCTTGGTTACCGAGTTTTTCCGTCGAAGTGAGTCATGCTCAACTTATGCGGCAAGATAATGCACCGGCATCTAATTCGCAATTAGACGCGATGGCTCGTCAAGTGAGTTGATTTCAAAAGAAACAAAAAAAAAAAGGCTGATTGTGTTTTGATAGGTGCAGCAATTGTTTCCACATATTCCGATATCGACGATTATTAGCGATCTCAGAGTAACAAGATCTGTGGAAATCACGATTGAAAATGTCTTGGATGGAAGGTTGGTAGCACCGACTATGTATAGGGAGCCGGAGGTTGTCCCGACTGCGAATAGGGCGATGTCGGTGTGGCAAGCTAGCTGTGATACCGCTTCGCAACAGAGGAATTGGGACGAGTTTAATGTGGACACGGTTGAAACGTAAGTACTGTAAAAATAGATAATAAGAAAATGCCATTTATTGATAAGGTAAGTGCATGAAATTAAAAGAAAAATGCTGAAGTGTGTCTTATTATCATCGTGAAATTCGTTAAAACAATGAAACTAATTAATAATGCAAAACAGAAACGAAACTCCCTAAATTCTAATGTCCCACTGATTGTGTAATCTGTAATCTGTAATCTAATTTGAGACCGTCAAATAACTGGCTTTTTTCTTTATTTTCACGCGAAATTTTCTTAACGGCGTGCATAAGGGAAAATTCTCCGTCCTCATCATAAAGATTAAGATAGATTGGGAGCATGGCACTTTAGGATTAGCACCGTGAGATAGTATAAATTCGATAATTTGCAAATTTCCATGTGTGTTAAAGCTGTTTCGCCTTTATGTTTAGTGTTCAGGTTCAAAGTTCAGGAACACTAAACGTAAAGGCGAAACAGCCAAATCTTCAATGAAATATTTCACTGATTCTACAGTATGTCCCCGGATGGAGTTTACAAGAGGAGAAAAAATTATCTTTGATTTTACACCAGAACTGCTTTATCTGAAACCAGCAAATCTGTAATTAAAACATCATTATTCTAACTCACTAGAAAGAAAAGTAATTTTTCTCTTGATTTTGGACTTAATTAAATAATTTTTCTCTGTTTTTTAAGTCTTATCACATTGGCGGTTTTATTATTTTGACAATGATGTCACTTTGACAAATGAGTTTAGGCAAGTTAAATAACAAAAATGTTTGTGAAAAACATAATTTTAATAAATGGCAACTCAAAGAAACAGCTTTAGGATAAGAAACAAAGTCAACAAGAATTATCATTATTTAATTAATAAATTAATTGTCAAAGTGACATATAGTTGTTAAATAAATAAAACCGCCAATGTGATACACTGGCGGACACGGAATTATGGACGATTTGTCATTCAACTGATATAAAAATGTAAAACGGGCTTTAGAAAACTAACCTCACTTTCAGTTTTTGTAATTTTTATCTTGATAACTAGAGAAAAAAGGACAACAAATCAAAATTATTTATTGAACTTATAAAAAAGCATTTATTGCTGGCATTATTGTTTCGGAAAATCGACGCCAAACAACTAAGATTTTCAAATTTTAGTTTCAAACGTCAATCATAATGACAATAAAGCGTGACTTACATTGACATTTTTTGAACTGACATAAATTTGATGTCAAAAATTCCGTGTCCGCCAGTGTAGGACTTAAAAACAGAGAAAAAGTATTCTAAGTCGAAAATCAAGAAAAAAAATAACTTCTCTTTTCACTGAATCAGAATAATGAAGTTTTAAGTACAGATTTGCTCGTTTCAGGTGAAGCAAAAAATGTTTTTCCTTTGCAGTTTTGGTGTAAAATCAAAGATATTTTTTTTCCTCTTGTAAACCCAATCCGGGGACATACTGTATATCTTGGGCAGTTATACGTATATCACAATTATATTTATTTACTGATTACATACAGAAAATATTTTCATAGTCATGCTTTTTCAGTGAAGATACAAGCAGTTTGGGGAGTAGATTTTCGAAATCTTCGTCGGAACGCGAGAAAATTCTTCACAGACGCAAAGAAAATTTGATTCAAAGCGCTAGAAAACGCTACATCGAGAAACAAAAGGCCGCCGCCGCTGCAAAAGTGGAGCTTCAAAGTTGAAGTATTTACGAAAATAATTTTTAGGGGAGAAATCTGTCTTGACAAAGTTGTCCCAGATGTAACAAATTGTTAAAGTGTACATTGAAGATATCTGCAGTTAAAATACTGCTATATTTAGATATTAACAATAAATGTCTAGATAACATTATTTAAAAATTTGAATTAACTTGCAGGATTGTATTTGTTTTATTTTCGAACGCTAGGCTCAAGGGATTGTGAATCTAAACTGAAAAAACGGAAACGTGTTTTAAATATATATTTATTGAAGACAAATCATTTTGTAATGGCAGTTTAGATATTTTTAAGGATACCTAAGTTGTTATGGAGTTTGTAAATTTGTATCAAATTCATGTTATAAGTTATTAAGTAGGTTTAAGATATTTATTAGTCTGAAATTGAATTGACGTCGATTAGTCATTTTCCGAGTGATAAAATTTGTTTTATCTGAGATTTTTTATGTTCTTTGTTTTTAGATGAATTAAATAACTGTCTTTTTAAACGAACTAATGTTCCTTAATCAAAGTTTAATAAAACTTAGTCACCACTTAGCGGTGTCACATCGTTAGAGCTAGTCTCACCAATCGGATCTGGTGAACCTTGCCCTGAATGAAAATATTTTTAAAGGCTTTGGTCAGATTGCACTTGAATTTTGATTAAGTTTGTAGTGTACATTGTGATAAAAGACTGACTCTTAGTATTTCCGTGTGATACTTTCACTTTTTTGTATTAAGTTATAGATTCATGCTTTATTTTGCTATGTTTTAATGTTTTTGTTATGTTTACTTATACGTCCGGCCTGAATTTTTGTGTATAATTAAAATGCTCAGAACCGAGGGAAACCTCGCAGGTTGAACATGTATTTTATATTATTATGAAGTGGAAAAAGTGCATGTTCTCTTTATTATATATAGAACTGTCTAGTTATATTTCGATATAGGAAATACGTAATTGCCATGCAAACATATTGTGTGCCAGATATCTAAGGGCCAAAGTATATCAGTTACTTATTTCGTCGTACTTACGTGTCCTGTCAATCTCCTAATCTTTGTTATTGTGCTTAGTATTGCTGGAATAAATTATTTAAAAAATACATTTTATCTAGGTATTATTATCTCTTCCACTGTTTTCACAGACTATGCAATACACAGTAAAACCTCTTCAATCCAAACAGCGAGTCTATCGAGCTATAATCGGGATTTGTACTCGATAAGTCGATAATACGAACAGCGATAACAATTATCCCCACTTTTTGTAAAATGGCTCCATATGTGGTATGCTTGTCTCTTCTTACTGACCAAACTTATTAAAACCGGAAATTTTCTACAAGATCATCGTATCTATCGTTCTTTTAGAAAAGAAGAAGTCCCAAGAGGCAGGGCAATTAGACTTAATCTCATGTACAATAAAATTATACATTTTTAATACATACACATACTTCCATTGTTTAATTGTTTGAATTATAAAAATTTAATTCGAAAAATGGCTATTCCAAAGAAGCCTTTGTAACAATTAGTTCGGATTATAGGGGTTGACCTGTAATTTTGGTTTCCTTCAACGTTTTGACCGTTACAAACAATAGTACATTATTTCAACAGACAAGTGTCGTCTCGACTTCGTTCTCGGAAGACCGACACTTTAGTTTAGTTATTTTTCAATAAATTTCATGTCCAGGAAAACATAAATATGTCCAAATTAGTACAGCCTTTTTTGGATTTGTTTGACCACCCCCGACGACCGCCTCTAACGGTCGAAGGGCTCGTCATCCGGTTGGGAACATGTGGTCACTTCTTAGAATCGCGGATGCTTTTAAAATCCTCGTCGAAGACGACCTTTCCTAATTTCAAAATTTCATTACTTAGTCAGTACTTGTTTGATTCCGACTTCGAGTAGTCTACGACGAGATTAATCTACGAGATCATTTAACAATTTTTGTTTAATTCCAAGTTCTTTTTTTTTTGTTATTTCTTTTCATTTTTGTTCTAAATTCATTAATAAACGGGCTGGTTTTGCTGAAGCCTGAGTTTTATTTCGTGTGTGAGTGATCCAACGGATTACGTCGCAGAATAGCCCTCAAAGGTAAGCGATCTTTTCTTATAGAAGATCGGCGGAGCCCAACAAGATACCCACGACCACGAGAGAAAAATCCGCGCTAGCAATATTTTTTTTTCCATTACTCAAGTTAAACCCACGCACCAGTCTTCTTAGACTGGCACAAAAAACCTTTACCTAACTCGAATTGTTTATTCCTATAAAACAATTTGTTTCAATATAAAAGTGATTAGCGTCAAAAAAAATAATTTTAAAGTATTTACTAATAAAAAATAGTATATCTTGGGACTTATCAATTGCCATTTGGTGGTCACTTTTCACAATGTTTTTTTCTTATGAAGCAACATATATGATACCACCGTTTTTGTTATGTCATTATGGCACTATTTAGATTCTTCTTTCACAGAGAAAATAAGTTATTGTGACCTATTTCATTGCTAAAGTGGCAATAGAAAAGTCGCAATGTATAAATACACTCACCGGCAAAATTATCGCATCACATGGGAAAAGTGATTTTTTATTGAAATAGCGCTTAATAGTTATTTATTGTAAGAATGTGTTAGGATAAAACGTTATATTGCAATCGTGTGTTAGTCGCGTTTTATCCACTTAAGAAAATTAACCGCTCGAACTGATGTTCTCGCGGTTAAACATTCTTGCGTGGATAAAACGCGACTAACACACGATTGCAATATAACGTTTTATCCACAATCACAGGCCCAAATTATTCCAAACTTAATTAAAAATTAAACTGATATTTAAACGTCACGCCAAATGTGCTTTCGGTTAAACGTAGTAAGCTGTTACGCGGTGCGCTGATTCTTAACAGTGGAATAAACTCACTTTATTCCACTAGTGGATAAAGTGATACTTGATACGCATATAAAGTGTGGAATAAAGTCTCTTTATAGAGTGCTTGTGGTTAAAAAAATAAATGCATCAAAAATTAATTAATTAACTAGAGCTTATTCCATATCTGGTGGCGAACTGACAGTGACAGAAAAGACACTTGGTGTGCGCCCACCTGGTTAAGATAAAAAAATACATGGGCGTACTTTTTTTTCTCTAAAAATTTTGAAGACAAGGATTGTTAGGAATACCATTTTTGAAAATTCTTTTCATGCGTTAACAACTTAATAATTTGTTCATCATTCTTCATCTTATGTATGAGTACCTACTTATTATAATTTTTTAAAGAATAACAGAGTGGTTTTGAAATATTATTTCATACGACGCCTATGAACAATATTTTTTTAATAGTAAACATATGTTTAGTGTCAAAATTCAGTCATTTTTGACAACGTCAGTTGGCCACCAGACTTGGAACAAGCTGTAACTAACGTTAAGTTATGAAACAAAAAAGTGAATTCCGTGCGGATCAGTTCTTTAGTTTATATAACCTTTTCTTACATTCGTAGGCAACCCCTAATACCTGGTATTGCCTCCTCGAGTTTGGAAAGCTCAGTTTTTTATTGTTGTCTCTCGGAAATTAGCGGTGATTTTGATAATTTGACATTTTCTTAAATTTTAAATGATGCAATAATTATGCCGGTCAGTGTACCTGTTGTACACCCCAAATAAACAAGATAAAAATAACTTGGTTATGACTAGACAACGAACGTTTTAAAATTAAGTAAAAAATAAGTTAGCATCGGTCATTTTTAATTGCAGGATTTAAATCACTGAAATAAGAGTGCGCCATGGCGTCATCTGCGGACATCCTTCCCATGGGGTTACAAACTAGTAGTCTTTGTAAAAGATCTCGACCTCTGTTCCCTAATTTAGGCACAACCTGAAATTTAATTTAATTTAATTTTTGATAAAATACGTACTAAAAATCAGACCTGAGATAAGCTCATGTTAGGCTGATAAAGTGGAAACGGTTTATAATCCGGAAGTTGAGTCATTCCGCTCCAAGTCTCTTCAGTGGGGGTCCCCAATAATTTAAAAATCCGCCTCAATTGGTCATCAACGTCAGAACCCGGAAATAACGGCCGACCTAGTTAATGCAAATTAAAAAAACATTTATTTTTGAGTTAAGAACACATACCGGCATTGGCCAATTCCGCAAAAATACACCCTGCTGACCACATATCAATCGACGTAGTGTACAATTTGGCCCCAAACAAGACATCGGGAGGCCGGTACCACAAGGTCACCACTTCGGCCGAATAACACTTCACCGGAATCCCGAAAGCCCTCGCTAACCCGAAATCGGCCAATTTCAACTCGCCGTTCTTGTTGATGAGCAAATTTTGTGGTTTCAGGTCTCTGTGTAACACATTATGACTATGACAAAACGCTAGACCTCTTAATAACTGGTACATGAAGGATTTAACTACGTCTAGATCAATATCACCGTTTAAGCTATCAAAATACTTCTTGAGATCTTGATCACAGTGTTCAAAAACTAGAGTCAATTTCTTATCACTGTGCAAGACATCGTACAAGCGGACGATGTTTTTGTGTTTAAGTTCCTTCAGTAAGCATATTTCGCGTAAGGCTGAAGATGGTACCCCCTCGTCATCGTCGTCCAAGCGCACTCTTTTGAGGGCTACGATTTCATGTGTTTCGCGGTTTTTTGCTTTGAAAACGGTGCCGTATGTGCCCTCGCCGATTTTCTCCAACTTTTCATACTTCTGCATCGCGAAAAGGTTTTCGGATAGCAGAATCAACCACTATATTCGAATTTTCTGTACTATTTGGGGGTTATGTTTGTTTTTATGTTTTTGCCACTTAAAATATGGAGAACTTAGACGTTAGGATATTGGCAACATTGTTTCTTTCTTATTTTTTGTTAAAATAATTATAAATGAAACATTAAAATTTTTAAACTTTATTAGAGAATTCTACTATTACGCTTTTATAAGTTTTAAAATTCTATTTTAACAAGTAAAACCCTAATGTTAGTGGCATTAGCCAAGATTCCAAGAGCCATTTTCTTGGTCCGATTGGCAACACTGTGTCCACTTGTCACAATTGACAGCGTGTCAATTTAATTAAAAAAAGCTCTTTGAATCAAAAAATACCTATCTTCAAAATGCCACAGGTGACTTCAGTTATTGCCAAATTTTTCAATGAATATAATTCAAAAACACCAAAGAAACTGAAATGTATTGATGCTTATTTGTTGTACATTTTATTAACCGGTATCGTCCAATTTGTTTATTGCTGTCTTGTGGGTACTTTTCCCTTTAATTCTTTTCTTAGTGGATTTATTTCTTGTGTTAGTAGTTTTGTCTTGGCAGGTAATAACATTAGTCTTAATTTTCAGTTTTTTTTTTTTAATAATTAATTCTTTTAGTGTGTTTAAGACTGCAAGTAAATCCAGAAAACAAGAATCAATTTGCCGGAATAAGCCCAGAGAGGGGTTTTGCTGACTTTATTTTCGCTCACGTGGTCTTACATTTAGTCGTAATGAATTTCATTGGTTAATAATGTATTTTGTAAAATGAGATAATTTCAATAAATTGCAAAAAGTTACAGTTTTGAGTGATTTCTTTTTCTCCATTGTTTGTAACCTTAACGTGCAGTAACCACCAAATACATAAAAATGTAAGTTGAGAAAACAGTTTACTCAACTTTATTAGTTTTACGTTCTTTAATCTAGGTAATATATTCGGAATATTTTTGCGATAAATCACTGATAACACTTGGAATTGTCAGTTTTATATTTGTACAACGTTCCCAAATTTACAGTACATTTCTGATCAGTCATCCATCAAAAATGAGTACTAGCGATAGTCCTCCCCAAAAATGTGTCACAGAAGTTCCCAATTACGGCCTAAAAGTGCGCCTAAATCACACTTATCCTGAAAACCGGTCTCAAGGTTTTAAACCCGGTCTTCGGTTAATTTGGGATATGTTACCACTAGTTTTGAGGTAATTTGAGGTTAGTTTTATGTTTTTCCAAACAATGAGCCTTTTTTAGGTACATTTGGTATTATATTGTTCATAAAATTATGGGAAAGTCGATTGTTATGGATTACGTACATACTTTGAGAGCGAAACAAATTTACGGTACTTTGAATGAAAAAATAAATAAAAGTTTTAAAAGGGTTTTTAGGTGTCCCCATCGGTGGGATCGGTTGCGGAACGATTGGAAGGGGATATCGGGGTGAATTTTGCCGGTTTCAACTCAAACCAGGACTTTACGAGTATAACACAGTCGATGCCAACCAATTTATTGTTACAATCAAAGACGGGCATAATGAAACCATTTTTCATAGTCTTTTATCAACATTTCCGTATGTATTCTTAATTTTTGTCGTAATGGCAGGTCGTAAATATTTTTTTTTACCAAAGGACAAAGAGTTTAAAAAGTTGGGAAAGCCTAATTGACGGTTCAGAGTGTTTTTATACTGGACTTTACCCAAGATCGTGGACTGAGTATGACTTATCAAAATATGGCGTCATGTTGACTTGTAGGCAAATTACCCCAATTATTCCTCATAATTACAAGGTACTTAATTAAAAAATGCAAATTGATTGACAAAGAAAAAGTCGAATTCAACATAATTATCCCGATTTAAGCTGCGATATTACAAAGTTAAAACCATATTCCAGGATAGTTCCCTGCCCTGTGCAGTCTTCGTCTGGGACGTGAAAAACATCTCAGAGGAGGACAGAACCGTCACAATAGCCTTTACTTTCAAGAACGGCGTCGGTGATAAATCCCGCGACAGAGCATGTACGACTTTAATCGCAAAACAACCCAATTTTTAATTTTTCTCGCCCTTAGCAACCTGTAGTTCAAAGGCCTTCACTCTTACTGACTCTGAAGGCGTCATTCTTTATCACACCATCGATAAAATGCAATGTTCTTACTCCCTCGCCGCCAAAACAAACCCCCAGATCGACATTTCCAAGTGTCTTTATTTCGATCCAAATTCGGACGGTATCCAACCTTGGATCCAACTTAAAAACAACGGCAGTTTCGATAAAATCAGCGATAAGAATTATGGCCAGATTTTCGGAGAAATGGCCTGTGGTATCGCCACAAAAGTCACAATCCAAGCCGGCAATACTATAACGTCAGAAATGACCTTAGTGTGGGACATGCCGTCGGTGCAGTTTCCCAAAAAACAGAAAAAATACACAAGATACTACACAAAGCATTTTGAAGGCGACAACACCGGCCTGAGGATCGTGCGATACGCGTTTGAGAATTACCACAACTGGGAACGGGCGATTCATGATTGGCAAAAACGTATTCTCGACGATGAGTAAGTCTACAATAGTCCATTCCGATTTGTATTTTTCATTAAGAAGGGCCTTTTCTAATTTGAGTTTTTCTAGAAATTTGCCCGATTGGTACAAATCAGCCCTGTTTAATGAGAGTTACTACATCAGTGACGGTGGGGCAATTTGGGTCATTTTAGACGAACAGGAAGCTAAAAAATTGCCGAAAAACGACCCCAGGTTAGTCTTAATTGGTGACTTAAGTCATGTTAGTTCAACTGTTTTAGACTTGAGCACGGTAAATTTGCGTTGTTGGAAGGCCACGAGTACAGAATGTACAATACTTACGATGTTCATTTTTATGCTTCATTTTCATTTGTTTTAAACTTTCCTTTGCTCCAATCTATCTTACAGTATGACATGCGAGACGCCATTTTTACTGAAATTCCGGATAAAATTAAAATGTTATATGACGGGGAAGTGTGCGAGAGGAAAGTACCAAATACTGTACCACACGATATTGGAGATCCTGGTAAAATACCCGATTTTTTTATATTACATACTCATTTATCACTTAGGGGAAGAACCGTTCATTTTACTTAATTCGTATCCTATCCATGACGTAAGCCAATGGCGTGACTTGAATTCAAAGTTTGTTTTGCAAGTGTTCAGGGATGCTTTTATAACAGGTCTTGATGACCGATCTGTTGGATATTTGAACGATATGTACAATGCGTGTTACACAGTGATGCATAAAAGTATGGATTTTGACATAGATGGAGACGGCCTTATCGAAAATTCTGGAAGTCCGGATCAAACTTTTGATACTTGGGTTATGACAGGTGCTAGGTATTTTACTCAAAATTGGGACGCCCCCTGATGCTAACAAATTTATTTCAAGTGCGTATTGCGGAGGGTTGTGGTTGGCCGCACTGTTTGCCATGACTAAAATAGCAGACGCTTTACAAAAACCCAAAGATAAAGAAAAGTTTCAGGAATTGTTGGATAAAGGCAAAGCGGCGTTCGAACGGAAATTGTGGAACGGAAAGTGTTACAATTTTGACTGTTCAGATAAAGAGTGTCGGTCAATTATGGCTGATCAGTTATGCGGCCAGTGGTATCTTAGGAGTTGCGGATTTAATTATGAGGTATCTCAAGGAACGACTTTGGAAAGATTTTAATCAAAAGTACCTAATTGCAGGTGTTTCCGCAAGATCGGGTTAAAACGAGTTTAAAAACAATATACGAAAATAACGTTCAGTCGTTTTGTGACGGTCGGATGGGGGCTGTTAATGGGTTTATTGACGGGGTTATTGATAAGTTTACTATTCAAAGTCAGGAGGTGTGGACGGGGGTTACGTATGCCTTAGCTGCCAGCATGCTTCAAGAAGTACGAATATTTTTTTCAAAGAAAAGTTTTTAATTGGTTTTGTTACAGGGAATGAAAACTGAGGCTTTCAATACGGCTGGGGGAATGTATAAGTCGATGAGTGAACGATTTGGACTCTCTTTCGATACCCCAGAAGCCTTATACCCTGTCAAGTATTATAGAGCGATCGGTTATATGCGACCCCTGAGTATATGGTCAATGCAGATGGCTATTGATAAATTTAATAAAAATATAAATTAATTGAAGCACATTCATTAGTTAGTTTTTTGCGCCTTTTTTTCAAATTTGTAATTTCTAAAATCGTTAATAAAGTGTTACAAAAGGGTTTTTGTTTTTTTTTATTACCTTATGCAGACTTGACCTGAATTTTCAAAGGGTCCGTCATCCCATACAATAGTTTGGTTTTAAAAACCATGTCTTGATGTGGCCAATTTAACTCGAAGTTTCTTATAATCTGAAAAAAAATGAAAATTTTAGCAAGAAAATGTTTTTTTTTTTTACTTTAAAAAGCGCCACTTCTATCTCCAAATTTGCCATTCTCTTTCCAACGCAACTCCTTGGCCCGTAACCAAATGGGGCAAAAATAAAAGGATTTGTATTTTTCTTCGACAACTCCCCGAAAGTTGTCGAAAGCCATCGCTCGGGTATAAACTCTTTAGCTCTTGAAAAATATTCATCGTTTCTACACAAAAATAAATTGCTTGTTACCACATCTGTCTAAAACAGTAGCTTAGCAAAAGATGAGTATAAAACAGTAAGTAGTTTTACCCCTTTTGGAATTTGGTATCCTCCCAAGACTAAATTTTTAACAGTCGTTCGCAAATTTCCAATTCCAATAGGTGCTAAACGCATAGTTTCCTTAATTACAGCTTTAAGATAAGGGGCCTTTTTTAAAACCTCGTTGGTTACTGGTTGATCTTTAGTTTTGAGAAGAGAAATAGATTCGGATCGTAGTTTTTCCTGTGCTGAGCGATTTTTGCCCAAGAAATACATAGCAGCTCCTAAAATTCTTCCTGTCTAAAAGTAAAAGATAATTAGGCAATTCTTTCGATATTTTGAAGTCCTACGGTGTCTATTCCCGCTATCATCATATCTACAGACATAGTCACGGCGATATTTCGGTCAATTTTTAGCAATTTTTCTAAAACACTCGGTATTTCGGTATTTGTTGATTCACCTTTTTCTAATTTATCTAAAACTTGATTTACATATTTCACATTTGTCCTAAAATTTGTATTAACGTGTATTTAAACAATTAAATAATTAATTACTCGGCGATAAAATCCATCACTTGGACAAATTTTCTCCAAGACGGCGTACTTATATAATTATGAAATGAAGGCAAGACATCGAGTTTGTGCATCAATTTAAACATTTCCAAAGTACTCCTTATTAGTTTCTGCGGTTCTGAATTTTCATCTAAGTCATTCTTTAAACACCCTGATTTTATTTATTAATAACAAATTGAAAAAGTGAAAATTTCGGGAAATCACCTAAATGCGTGTCTAAGGTTACAAGTCCGACTGACTCCAAAGACCATTTGTACAGTTCATTGTGGAAATTTTCCGGCATTTCCCCATTTTCGCTCTGTTCCACCAAATTTGCAATATTATTAACAAGTTCGTCAGCGACTAAATTCATTTTGTCTGTGTACTGGGAAATAATTTTCGGTTGCATCAAAATCTGATTAACTACTGATCTTATCTTGAACCAGTTTTCTCCTTCTCTAGGAAACAATTCGTTTTATTAATTTTTCTATAAAGTGGCGACTACATACTCAAGAAGTAAGCCTGAATTTAGAAATATATCGTTTTTTGATTTGCGATACTCGTGGAAAGACGCAAGGCCCCTCCTGATCGGCCAAATACCTTCATTTCTAAACAACTAAAACTAATTTAGAATTTTTTATTTCAAACTCATGAACAAACCGTTTCATAGTCTTTTGGGTTAAATATCATTACAATCGGGTTGTTAATCATGCCTTTAAGAATTGAAATATCTCCATACCGTTCATAAAAACTAAAAAAAATATTGCAAACTTATTAATATAATTTTTCTTACATTTGGTGTAAGTCCAGAAAATCGATTCCGTAAAAATCACCGATTTTCGGCACCAGAAATCGCCATATATTCCCAACAAATGGTAGTGGTTTAGGCCCAGGGAGACTATCGAAAGGTTTGGCTTTTTCCCACCCTTCAGGCATTACATCACTATTTTCCAAGGCGTTTAAATTTTTGTAATGTTCCAATTTTTTCTGATTTATTACATTTTCACTTCTTGTAGACATCAAAATCTTTTGCGAAGTATTGACAAAGTTCATTAATTTGGTTTTTAACATTTTAACTCCTGAAATTGATATTTTTCGTGCAGATGTTTGTCGCAACTATTGTTTGACTGTGATAGTCGGTTATTATTGACTAATAGGCTCTGAAGGTTAAAGACAATATTTATAATATTTATTCAATTTTCGTCTTACCTTTTTATTACTAAATTGACAATTACTTAGTTGATAACACTCTGAACTCACTGATTAGACCTAAACTCTTTTTGAAAGAGTTTTGTTTTTTAAGAAATTATTAGACAAGATAGATATTATTATCAGTTTAATTCTTTAAGTACTAAAGTACTTGACGTTGTCTATTCATATTTCGCAATAATTGTTTATTATGATAAATTTAAGATAAATAATATCGAAAAGTGAACTGATAAAACTTTTGTATATTTTTAATCACACTTGCTTTATTTTTTGCTTTATTTTTTTTACATTAACGCCATTAATAAAGCACTCAAATTTTCGATTTTCGAAAAATTTTAAGATTCATGTCTGTAGTTCAACCATGCATTCAATAAGTCTTGAGCTTCATTCTTCTGCATACTATCATTTTTTAATCTTAATTTTAACGTGGGTATAAGATTCATTTGGTCATTCATCATTTTAACTTCTGAGAAATTGTCCATCGAAAACTTTGACCTACTTCCTAAGCCAAAAGTTTTGACAATATTGTTTACCACTTTTAGCTATGATATACGAAGCGTTCAAATCGCTTGATTGCTATAAAGGCGATCCACCAGATGAAGCTATGCAGGTCCCGTTAAGTGTAACGAGTGCTCCAGGTGTATGTTGTACATGGTATAATCGGGACTGACCAACAGTTCTTCGCGCCACACCGCAGTATTCATTTTGCGCGATCAACAATAACACTGCAGTGATATTACGGTGCATGGTGTGATTAAAATTTGATTTTTCCAACAAAATCTTTAACAGAAAAATGAAGACGCATTGGAGAGTGATAATAGTAAGAGATTCCATTTTATATATTCTTAATTTTAATTAAGAAAATCTAGACCCCAATTCTACTAACTAATTCTAGACGAATCTAGAGAAAACATACGTAAATTGATAACGTAATTCTTTCAATTCGTTGCAAAAATAAACTTATTGAAAATTTTGTTGTTTGAGTTTTCTTCCGGTTGGTGATTAAGTTCCGTTTTTCTTACATAAAATCCGGAAGTTTCACTTCGTACCGGTCTACTAGTGAAACACACCTTTAGATTAGAAAAAAACACTTGAAGCAAAGAAAACCAATTAAATTCTTTGAGTTACTTATGCAATAATATTTTTATTGCAAACAATTAGACAATATGATTTCTCGTCACATTCGACACCAAAAATGACCAATCAATATTTAGCAACTTTTCAGTAATTATTTACAGATTTATTAAAGTACAACTTTTTTCGAATTTCCACTATTGTTTTTCTTCCATTAATTGCTTTCACATTGAGCTGGAAATAATGACCCTATTGTGTACATGTGACCCAAAAACTAGTAAAATCTTCTCAAGAGAAGAAATCGGATTAAAATGCGTCATGTATTGAGTTTCGAGGAAGTAAAGAAAGCTTTACTCGAAATGGTCTAAGCCGGAATTAAGATAACGGGTTCAGGTGCAACTTCTTAATTTGTTTGAGCGATGAAACTTGTAGGTATTTGATTCAATGGGTCAATGCTATTTATGTTCACATATCCTTTTACTACACAATAACCACCTACAGCCAGTTTGTACGGTTAGGAATCCATTTCTCGCTTGAAAACCGTTGGACAGATCATTTCGACTTAGAGACAGAATCACATATACAAAGTGTTTATTGATAATTAAAAGTAAAAGTTTTGACTTGGCAGTTCGATTTGGGCAGAATTTTCTTTTGTCATCGACTAAAAGCCATGTTATATGCTCCAATTACCCTCCTGAAAGAGACATTACTTAGGTGGCTTATACCGTTATATAAAAAAGATGTCCAAAGTAGGTTATTACAGCTGCATAGACACGACAAATTACGTAACAGATAAGCCCGAAACGCTTTGTCCATTTTAGCCCAATTACATGCTTGGTGGCGGCTCTAACAGTACCGCCATTCCAAGGAAAGGAAAACAAACCAAGTTTGTTTGAGTTCAATATTTTTGCTTCCTGGAAGACTAAATAATTGGCATATTGGTCAAAATGTACGAGCAATCAGAGCGATTAAAGGTGTTATACAGTTAGCTGAATGTTAACGGGACATCAAATTCTTCTCAGAAACGAAATTTACATATGTACAGTTTATCTCTGAGGATGATGATATTGTACCAAAACAAGGATACGAGGAAATCTGTTCAATAACCTTTGAGAAGGACGCCACCGAAACCAAGGTCACCAAAATGTAGGTCTCCGCAGTCAGGTGTCGAGATGTGGTGTGCGTGATAAAATTTCGAATATGTTTTGGTAGGGGTTTTTGAACCTAATTTGGAACCTTTTTCTGTTTCAACTAGCGTATTTTTGCTTGACTTACATTCTAAAAATGAGACGTATTTTTGCCAGACTGGTGCCTACTTTTAATTAGGTAGTTTAATTAAAAATAATAAAAAATTAAATAAACCTGATCATATTTTATTTATTGATCACTGAAGTGTCTACTGTCTGAGGGAAGAGATTTTAATTTGGTTTTTCAAAGACTTTTTGTCATCAGTTCCTATGTTTTAATAAAATAGGTGCAAGCCACTAAAAAAACTCGCAAAGTGAGGGTTTCATTAACTTTAAAAAAACAATTTTTTGAAATAATTTGGGATGTTTTTTAATTTTAGTAAAAATTAAACGTTCGTACTAAAACATTTCCAACTAAGTATCACATTGCCAAAGTTCTAAAATTCCACCTTCAAGGAAAAATTGCAACTTGAATACCTAATGTATTTTCATAAATAATAAATTTAAAATTTAATCATAAAGCCATAATTACCTAAACCAGTAAAAATTAAGAAATTGTAAATTGTACCATTTACTAATCCGACATTCAAGAGATCTTTAAAATTGAGATTTGAATATTTAAGGAATTTTTTATTTACATCACTGTTTACTTTATTATTATATTATTGAAAATATACCTACACTCACTGATAGCGAAAGTGGTCACGTTTTGGTATTCATTATAGTTTTACCCATTGCGAGTTACCTTACTTTTGAATCATTTAAATGATAAAAAAGAAGGTTAAATTTATATGAATGAAGTCAAGCTAAAAATGAAATAATATCTTTGTCTTCAGTCAATTTCCTTTAGTAAAAATTGCTACTAAATTTCGGAAAAAGTATTTCCTTATGAAGAATATTTCCTGTTGTTCACTTTTACTACTGAAAGATCTAAGATGCACAAAAAAACTTGTGATACTCTTGAGTAAAAGTACTAATTGTGCTAATGGAGGTAACGGATAAATTTTTACCACATTCTTAATTCATTATATTTCAACGTTCATTGACTTTCATAACCCTATTGATTGATATAACAAAAAAATATTTACTCAAACAACGAAAGTACCAAACATTGCAAAAAATACGATAAAAAACAGTTAACACCTGCCTTGTAATTTGAAACAGAATTGCTTTAGATTATACAGTAATGTAACAAATTTTCAACAAGATTTAATTTTTACAGTTTTAACAGTTAAAAACCAACTGTACAGATATCTAACTGTCGTCATTTCACAGTTTTTCCCAAACATTGCATAAAATATCAATTTATCCCGATTATACAACAAACTTTCTCTTAAAAAACATTTTTTGTTTAGTTATTTATGTGCGCTGTATGCGCGCACGCTACTGAATCACAAGAAACAGTTGCTGAAGAGCCCCCTGAGGGGTATTACGCCTTCGTGGAGTCTCCCAATGCTGAGCCTCCACGAGTGCGACCTCCACCCTACACCCACGCTCCGACAGACTGTAGGGAGGACGACACTAAAAGCCCCCATGCGTCCGCTTTCAACTTATGCGGGGATTTAAACAAGGGAACAATTCCTAGAAATCCGATGGGTCAGAATGTTTTAGGGTCGCCGTATCCTTTGTAAGTAGTTCCGGTGACCAGAAGTAGAACTGCAGTTTTTGGTTGTAGTGAACTGATAAGAAACATGACCTTGAAATATTTAAGTCGAACATTACCAATTCTGAAGGCGGACGAAACGTTACCGAAAGTTGCGCAGCTCCAAGATGACCTTATTTCCCAAAATACGTGAGTAGAAGTAATTAATAAGTACATTGAAAATTTTCTATTTATAATTCTGATATTAAAAATGAAAACACTTATCTCTGACGGGTCTAGCATAACACCGTTCCAAAACAGCAACGATAGGGTTAAAAGGGAAACAAAAACGAATCAAAAACAAGAAAAGAAAGATGAAACGCCCACTAACTCCACTTCTCAAGACAACAAAGACCGCAAAAGTCGCAAATTTTGCGACCAAGGGGGCATTTTCTGCATGTTATACAAAGCCATCAATGGGGAATCGTATTCTTCACCCAATGTAGTCCAATCTTCGCACCTTCCTGTTGAAAGAAGAGACGAAATAGCACAACCCCGCTACGAGGGACCTCCCACCCCATGCCCCGCTAAAGTTGAATATGCTACCCCAGTCTTCGCTAAGAATTATCAAGGAGTTTGGAGATACGTCGTTCAAATACCTTACGAAGGCTATTTTACCCAAACTGTCGAAGTTACAAGGTTACAAGACAACTTAACGAAACTATTATTATAAAATTTTAATTTTTAGGTGTCTCCAATCGCGATGTCATTACTTGGATGGTGGTTGCTTGTCTTCGCCGCGATGGTCAAGTCTTTTGGTTGCAGAGATTTATTATCCCGACACGGTTTTAAGCAATAGTGACACTGCGAATCCCCCTAGAAGTCCTGTGGCGGCGTCTCAGCCTCCGTCTGTACAAGATTTCCAGGTAAATATCATTATCCATGCAAGATTTGCAAAATTCAATTTTTGTTTTACAGAATTACCAGCAGTATTTGCACAAAAGGGCCGGACTTCAAGCCGCCCCTGTCGACTCCTCGACCACAACTAGACCCACCCATTGCGACGGAGTAGACGCCCTTGGTTGTTTCCAAGTGCGGCTCTATTACGACTGGTTCTTAATTCCCGGTTCTTGCAAATGTTGGAGACCCGATTATTTTAATAAATACGTCAGGAGGAAATCCTCGGCTGAACTTTAATTTTTCAAGACTGTATATTAGATGATTGAAAAGGGGGATTTTTATTTCAAAAAGTGTAGTCTAGTCTTCGATTTTTGGGGGAGAAGGGTTTAAACCGGCCGATACAGTTTGATTTAAAATCCCCTTTTTGTGATATGTCTCCCAATTTAAGTGACGAGAGTGGAAAAAGCATTTTAATATATTTTTATTTATTTGTTACGATATATTCCACCGTTACAGGTTTAAGATTTGCACATAATTTATGAATAGGCGATAGTAAATAATGTCATGAAATAGAGTAATTTGATAAAAAATTAAATTACTGTGTTTCACCAAAGGGTTAGGTAATGGACGTGTAAAATTTTTTGACATTGTACAAAAACTGTGTAAAAATTTCCTAGAAATATATCCTTCATCACACTGGTTGTTTTTTTATAAACAAAAATATACGCAATAACCACTGGACCGATGGAAGAAAATACTCAACTTTTTTATTTCAATATTATGTAATTTTTTTTAAAACTCGCGCCCCAGAGTAAAATCTCAAGTGCCGGCGACAATAAGTTACCAAAAAATTCAAACGCAGACTTTAATTTTGCTTACATAACAAAGTTGCGAGACTTTTAAATCCATTAATCCCAGAAGAGCTGTTTTTATTATTACAAAATAACGCCGATTGCTAAGTTTGAAATATAGACAGATTGTTATTATTTTTGAATCGTAGTAACCGATAATACATATTTGGTAGTAACACTTCGAGCTGCCCCTCTGGGATTAGTGAATTTTAATATCGCAACTTTCTTATGCAAGCAAAAGTAAATTCGTCGTTTGTATTTTTTGGTCTTATTGTCATCAGCACTTGGCAATTTTCTCAGAAGCCCGAGTTTTGAAACTCCCTGTATAGTGACAATAGTAAAGTAATTGATTCTAAAGTGTAACAATAATAAAAAAATATAGATTGCTTATATATTATGACAGATTCAACTTTGGACTTTTTTTCAAACTAAACCAACTACATCAACAATTCAGCTATATGTGTTTTGAAAGATTTAAAAAAGCAGGTTTCTATTTCATAATACTATTTTGAACCAACTCCTAAAAAAATAAAATAAAAATATGTTTACAAAAAACCATATACAAGACAACCTGAAGCTCGTCAATAGTTTTACTCCAGTCTTCTTTGGCAATGGCAGGAACCACACCCATGATTACTTTAGTAACTTTAGTCACATTTTTCTTAAAAGTAGCAAGAACATCAACAACAGTCACGTGTTCATCTTTGTTGTCTTTCCAACAATCGTAATCAGTAACTAAGGCAACTAAAGCATAACACAAGCCTGCCTCTTTAGCTAGAACAATCTACAAAAACAATAACAAGAGGAGCCTCTCACTAAAACAAAAATACCTCTGGGACTGAGGTCATATTGATAATATCCCCGCCCCATTGTCTGAACATTTTACTTTCAGCCTTACTGGAAAACCTGGGCCCCTCGATAGTGACCACAGTCCCGGTTTTATGGACGGAAAAGTTCAATTGTTCCGCTGTTTGTATAATCAACTGTCTTGTTCTTTCACAAAATGCCGGCTCCATCGGTAAGTGGCAAATTCCCAAAGGATGGTTTTTCTCCCCATCATAAAAAGTTTGTTTTCGACCCTGTGTCCTATTACCAACATTAGAAAAATTGAAACGATTATGATTCTCATCACCTGTCTATGAAATTGTTCAAAATCACCAAATCCCCCGGCTTGATGTGTTCTTGTAACGAGCCGGTGGCAGTGGCAGCGATGACATGTGTGCAGCCTTCATTTTTTAGGGCCCAAATGTTAGCCCTATAGTTTACATTTCCTGGCATTATGCCGTGGTTGCGGCCATGCCGAGCCAAAAGTACGCAATCTACCCCCTCGATTTGGCCCAAAGTTATCACGTCGGAAGGTTTGCCGTAGGGTGTATCGACCGATTTGGTACTAGCATTTTTTAAAATGTCGGGATTGTCAAGGCCAGAACCGCCGATTATGCCGATCTATTTGTGGTTTTGTGCAAATGCCGGCTTGTAATGAACAACGGACTTACCTTGATTTTTTGTGGCATCTCGGTTAGTTTGACTTTTTTGATAGGGGGTGAAATCTTGATGAGTTATGTGGCGTCGAAATGGTCGAGAATAGACAATTTATTGATTAAATCACTTAACTAATTTGGAAAAGTTGACTTAAAAAAGTGGGGTTATAGTAGCAGCAATTGACAGTTCTCACGTGACTTATTACGAAGTGTCGCCACCAGAAAAAATGTAAAATTCAAATTTGAAATGAATTAATGTAAAAATGTATACAAGTGTAAAATAAAATGTGTAAATCATTCACTAATAACCATCCATCTCTCATTTAAAAAACAACGTAGTGGTTAGTTAGGCTGTTAGGCATTTTGCCATGTAATTACCAGAGTACAGTCTGTCATCTATCAGTTCTATCACGTATCAAATTTTGAAAGTGTCAATTGTGTCATGTATTGTTTTCAAAATTCTTTTTTTTGGAAAAGAGTACTTTTAGAAACACACATTAAAAATGGTTTGTTACGTAGTTTTATAGGATTCTGTGTTTATCGTTACACAAAACCAAAAAACTGCTCTAAAGTGTGTGTATGTATTTTACATTTTGTTTTTTTTAAGTTGGTTTATTTTAAATTTTTTTAGCAAGAACTAGAATTCTGGAAAACAAAAGCAAATAAATTAGAAAAAGAATTAAATTCTCAAAATAAAAAACTGAATCAACTCAAAGAAGAGGTAATTTCTGTAACTTATGAATTAAGAAGGTGTAAAAACATACTCAAAAAAATTTTGATGAAGAAAGTAAAATTGAAGTAAATAATACGTTTAAATTTATGTTGAGACAAATAGGAAGTGTTTATTAAAAATGAATAGTCTTTATTACGATTTATGACAAGACTCCGTAATGTAGGATATTTGACATCCTACAAACCCGATTGCATTATCAGTTTAATTAATGGCTCAAGTAATGCCATATCGTCCTCAGGTGCATTGTAATATCCACAATAAAGCTCAAATTCACTAATGGACAATGTAATTAGTGATTTTTGAGTAAAAAAATCTTGTTCACAACTAGAATTTTAATTACAAAAATATTACAGCAAATTATACAGAGTGGTTATAAATGATTTTCATCTAGCCATCTGTGAATTTTCCTGTAAAATAAAAAATGCCGCTTTACGAAAATAGGGGTACCTACTTGTTTTAACTCAAAATTATAAAATCGCCGTTTATTAAGCGTCCACTTGGAAAATAGACTTCAATTATAACTTGTTTTCTTCCAAAGTATACATTATTATAAATTATTATTGGAAATTAGTTGAAACAATAAAAGTTTAATTAACAACCATTTATTATTAATTAATAAGTGACACTAATGACAGAACTAGAGCTTTCAAAAAAGTAGGGCGGCAAAAATAAAAAAAGTTACAAAGCTGGCTAGATGAAAATCATTTATAACCACTCTGTATAATATTTCCATACAAAATATGAAATCTTACATCAATTTAAAAACAATAATAATTTATCTTCGAAGTTAAGAAGTATCACGTCAAAAGTATAAAAAAAACTACACGTAGATAGGGTAAACCAGGGTGATATGGTGAACAAAAAAATTGAGCCCTGTAGAACACAAGAAATTGTTTATATAGACAAAATAAAACTACTATTCTTTCATAAAATACATAGGTAACAACTTAACACTGTCATAACCTCTTAGAGACATAACAACAATTTGAAAAAAAAAATAATTGTTTTTTACCAAATTCACAATTTCACCCATGCATATGGGTGAAATGGTGAACTTACTTTTTCTGCTTTTTACCCCAAATATTACACATTGACTTACGTACAGTCTTTGTGCAACCAAAGTTGACATCTAATACATTTTATCCAATCCACTTCCTTTTTAGTGCTACTTTATAAAATGTAAAATTTTAAATTTTTTTTAGAAAATTATAAAATTTTATAAAATGTAGGCATCTTTGCCTGGAACAATGCTGATATAGTTAAAACTTTTACTTAGGCCGAAAATACGAGTACATGTAAGAAAAGTCGTTCACCGTATCACCCATGCCCGAGTTCATCATTTCTACCATTGGGCAGGGTTGAAACGATGAATAGTGCGGCAAGCAGTTCAAAATACTGGAGGCAAGCTTATGTAGTGTATAAACAGTCTAAAAAGGCAGAACATATCAAAAAATACCTCGGGGACTAGGCTACCTGAAACAACATGTACAAACGCCTGCACAGTATAAAAATTATTGAGCACATGAAACAGTTTTGTTCAAATTACTTACGCTTTTCAAAACGAGACTGGTTTTTAATAGGTGCTCGATGTACAAATGATCATAAACAACTGTCAAACAGAATTACAGAAAAATCTCTCTGCCCGAAAAAGAAATAGAGTAAATCACCATTTCACCCGATTTACTATATCACCCTGGTTTACTCTATCTAAGGGTGTGGACAGAAGTCGACACACAAATCCTTAAAGTTACAAATAGTTCCATTAAGTCAGGTACAGGTAGCATCGTGGTGCTGTCACATCACAGATTCCATTTCTGTTAATTCGGTCGTCAACTCGCTGATTTCCAACAGCGATGAACCGGAAATATTGTCGACTTCGTGGTCTGGTAGACCACCTGTCTCCGTATTTCAAGTAGTCGTCGTGACGATCCATCGCCGGGCATTGTACTGAGCGACGTAGGGCCTATGAGGGACTCTTGTGGGGTACTTGTTGGATCTAGCGCTGTTGCAGAGCGACCAACGCGAGAAGGGCCTCAAAGACGTGCTCTGCGCATCACCTGAAGAGTTACTTGCACTGTTACCTGTGCCCAAGCATAAAGAAAATAAAATAAATGCCGCTGAAAGGAGAGTAAAGGAAGAGGCTGTGCTAATAAGCAAAAGAATAAGAAGAAGCTCAGCCCCTTGAAGCGATAGTTACCTCCGGTCGCGGAACGGTAGTTTTTACTGGAGGCAGTGTAGTGGCGGAGCAGGAGGCGCGGCAACTCCCGGTTGAATGCCAGATAAATCCAAGGGTTTACACAGCTGTTTAGCGAGTAAAGGAGCGTTAATATCACAAACACGGGTCCTGGAACGATATAAGCCGCTTTCATTATTTTGAATATAGTACTTGTGGCTGTCATTAAATTTTCCCCAGCCGTTAATTCAATTTTACATCAAGGCGGGACAAAAGGGAACTAGAACCGGAACTAAATACTGCCTGGAGTTTTTAAGATTTTTATTCACAAAAAAGTAATCAAATTACCTTGGAAATGAAAAGATCAACAATTGATATGAAATATGACAGTTCAGGTTGGGAAGTGGTCACTTCTTATCAGTTTTCGGGTTGGGATGTAGCCATTTCTCAACCTAAGTTTTTTAAACTTTATGTTGCTCGTCTAGCAACTTCCCTGAGTTCAGGAAGAAAACATTCCATTTTACTAGTACTATTAATATTGGACCGTACCCGGCTAATAATAATAACCCCGGTTATTAGTGACCGCGGCGCTTCGCACGTGATTGTCACATTTTAGTTTGGTAATCGGTATAGCACCTTTCCTCGATATCTATCAGGAGGATTAATCATATTAAACCATTATTTTAATTAAAAGAGTCAATAATAAAGTTTTTTTCTAATTTGCGTTTATAACACGTTTATTAACGTCACTCAGTAGGAGTCGTTTATGGCTATCTATAAAAGCACACTGGACTTTGATGAATTTAGGGTTATTTAGTTTTTGTATGCCGCTTCTGACTCGTCAGGTAACAAATTTTGCGTTGTTACTTTGCCAATTTCGCGAATTTCGGGCGGAGTGCAAACTAAATTCTGTTGGCTCATATTTTATTTATTATTATTATGTTGTAACACTAATAACTAATAATTTGTAAATTTTATTTTTAATGACAGACGGCAGAAATGATTCAAAAAATCAGGTGGATGCCGAGTGTTACCAACTAACACAAAATTCTCTAGAGGACAAAAACATATATTTTTTTTAATTAAAATAAGAAAAAAGGGGGCGCAAATTAGAAAAAATAGTATAAAATACTCGTTTTATAATGGCATTGGCGCACTCATCCCATAGAAAACTCGCCTACGGCTCGTTTTCTAACTTGGGATTCGTGTGCCAAATCAATCCTTATAAAACTTGTTCTTTAATATACTATTTTGAAGTCTTGGTTTACTTTAATTCGTTTAAAATCTACACGCAACAGGCTAATTAAATAGTAGGTGCGTTGTACGTTGTATCAAGCTGTTAGGTATTGATTGATTTTATAGAAATCAGCACTGATGACATTAAATCAACTGTCCGAAAATTAATCTGTGTTTGGACAGCAATATCGTTTCACAATAACGCGTTTTCCAGATCACAAATTAAAAAGAATATGCTGTATATTAATCTGGAAAAATATTTTTTCCGGAATGGGATTTAAGAGAATTACCGATTTAAAATAACTTACAGTTTTTCATTACTAAAACTAAAATACTTAAAAAGTGTTTATTATGTAATTGTTATTATTTGATTTAAAAGTATGTCAAGTTCAACCCTTATAAAACTTGTTCTTTAATATACTATTTAGAAGTCTTGGTTTACTTTAATAAGTAGGTATCTAGTTACTAATAGAGTAGACATTTTTTGAGGTTTCATCAGATTATAAAAACTTCTTGTTGGATCTTCTTGGTATGAGAATAATAAACACAAACACAATTTAACTCGAGTCACTAAACTTTTATTTGAACATTAAGTGCTCATTCTCAGGTGAAAAAAAAAACTATTCTAGGGAACCCACACTTGAAATCTTTCAACATTTTTTCCGGAGTAGAGTATTAGCGTAGAGTATTAAAATATAAAAAGCTTGTTTTTTCAAGCATCATTTTTGTAGACACTTGAAACTCGAATAAAAATAGAAAACCTTGCTCTTGAAAGTTATTTTTTCTTTCTATAGACAAAGTTCGACCTTACTAATCCCGAATTACTCTCATTTCTGCTCCTAATATCCCATCGAACGGTGAAACAACACCAACTCCTCTCGACTAGGTTATTTCGCTACCTCTCCAATCAACTAATTGCTTGTAAAAGTAACTTGGCTTTGGCAGCCACGTAAACAATTGTATAATTTTTGTCGAACGAGTACTTACCGTCAATGAAGGGGCTTTGGGGGTCCCAAGTGGCCCATAATTGTGCTAGAATAAACGGAGTCGAGCACGCTATATACATTACAATGACGGCAATAGTCTGCTTGACAGTATTAATCTTCGCTCGAGAGATCAAAGGGGTACGTTTCCCAGGTGCTGATTTCTGAGAGCTTCGAGGTCGTAGGCTCGATTCGGAGCTTTGCCAAATCTCAATACAGATCGACGTATACGTAAAAATTAGAACCACTAATGGGATCATAAACACAGAAATGCTGTACCTAAAAATAATAAAATTAAATTAGTTTCATAAAATTTTAAAGGGTTTAACCATGTGACGTAAGCCCTTTTACCCCATGGTTCTTGGAAAGTGGCCCAACAGTCGTACTCATCTTCTCCAACGTTCGTGTATGTGAAGATCGTCAGCTAAAAAAAACAATTCAGTGAAACTCAAGAGATTAATATTTAAGAGACTAGGCAAGAGTTATTAGCAATACTGTGCTGTTTTATTCATGTATTTGAAGGATTTAAGATAACAGAGTTCTCCGTCTGTAGTACGATGAGTTAATAATTTTGATACGATTTTACGTAAAAAATTTCTTTAATAAAATAGCGTCATTAACATTTTCATATTTGGTGTTCGGTCGTTTCGTCAATCTCGCAAACAACCACAATAAGAATGCTTAAATAAAAATTAAAAAAATGTTATAAAACAATGTTATAAAACTAGTTTATTTGTAATTTCAAATAGATATAGTATTAGATTATTACTTCTAACCTGCCAATCTTGTTCGATCAAAACCGAAATGATCCTCAAAATCCGGAACATGTGACAGCCCACATATTATAGTTTGTACCCATCTTTGTGATTACCCTGCTTGCAGAATTCGCAAGCAAATATCTAACGAATTTCTGCTTACACCTCACTTATCACAATTTTAATAAATCCGATCATCCAATTAACATCCAATTTAGATCATGTAACTTCAATGATTATAGTATTAAGTTACAATTGATTTCAAATAAAATTAAAGCTGTTTAGTTAAAATGCGGAATAAATGATGTAAAGTAATTATGTGTGAAATTAAATTAAATAAATTTTACGTTGGGTGTTCAGTCGTTAGCACTAGACAGCGCTCCTGTTGCTTTATTTCCACATTCTTCGGCGACGCGACTTTTAAAACCGGTGCTTTTCAATAAAAAGATCAGTACAAAACCGAAATAATAACATATCAGAATTTCAGGCGTTTCAGCAACGTTATCTGAAACGGTTTCAAAAGCCTAAAAGTTAGTTCTGACAGGCCTAAAATATACACAAAATACATTTCCGTCGTCTGACAATCAAAAAATAAATTTATTTCATTAGGTGAGTGTTTGCCTTAAAAGTTTAGATTCAATATTTTAAAAAGAGTTAAACAAGACAAGACTTTCATAAATTACATAAATTTTAACATACATCAAACTAATGTTTCTAAAGATTTATTGAAGTTGCGGTAAAGACGAATGTTCTTTTTGTAATCCATAAACTGGCAATTTTGTGTGTAATGGTGTTGCCGCCATTGAAGCGTTTTTGGTCCATTTCGTATTCAACACACAAAAAATTTATAGTTAATGGATCATACAACACTTACTTCGATGGGATTTATTAAGGAGTGTCCAGGACTATCTCAAAGATTTTCTTGATGCTATTAGGATTTGGTGACGCCACAAATTGTTGTATTAGTCTTGTTTTAGATTCTGGGAGATTAGGTTACAGCCAAAGGGATTATTATTGCGTAGAATAAAACAATTCATTTATTTACTTTTTCGTCGTTCCATGTTGTTATAATATAAATAACATTCAACATTTGCAATCGTTAAGCTGTCAATATCATTCTAGCATCACACAGGACTGTTAAGAGATTTTTCAGGATACTGAATTGGTAATTAACGTTTACATAGTTACAAACGAGTCTGGTAGATAAAATTTACCGGCTTAGGCCAGTAGTAATCTACTACCGGCCGTAACCTATCTACTGGCTGGTAGCTAATCTACCTAGCCTGACTACCGGACTCGTTTGTAACTATGTAAACGTTAGTTAAATTTTTGTTTTCATGAATTTTTGCTTAACTTGAAAGTGATCATTGCAGTATCCTGAAAAATCTTATACAATATACGTCCGGTAGCATTTTTATGACCTTGCCAAATATACAAAGGTCTCGCCATACGGCTCGACCTGTAAAGTAAAATCGTTTTCATAAGACCTACTAAAAATTTTATTACTTTTAAGTTAAATGCGGTATTGTTAAGAGTAAACCAGAGGATAAACAAATCATAAATTTGTGGAGCCCACCCGGACCCTGAAACAGGTCAGCTTTTAACAGGGCCGGATTACTTACTTTCTTTTGTCTAAAATACTTGAAATGTTTTAATAGTTTTTGATGTAGTTGTTATTAAAGTCAAGTATTTTAAGAAATTTAAAAAATCCAGGTGGTTATTAACAAGCTATTATTAAATAAAGCCGAGTTTTTTTAGTAATAGCGTAGTAAAACTCTACCACTACTTTAGTTTTAAATACGGCCCGTTTATATTCTAGTGGGTGCAGCAACACTTGCAAAGGAACGTGTCATTTATGGAGGGTTACAAATTCAAGCCATTGTTTGGTTAATCCCTTATAATGTGTCATAAAATTTTTTAATAGGTCTTTTGAAAACGATTTTACTATAAAGTACTGGCGGGGCCATAAAAATGTTGCTTTAATGCCCAGCTTTTTGACAGCTTTGACAGACACAAATATTAATATTTTTAGAATTTGAAAATAATTTTTTTAAATATGGTAATTTAATACGACGAAAAACGTTATACAATTGCGGAATTAAAATTTCGGACAGTATTGTCATTTTCATAATGTAAACTCTAAAACAAACTTTACATTAATAGCCCCATTTTTTACTCTTGTCATGTTTATGTCATTTTCACTTATTTACTTTCAAAAATAGCGATTTGTGGCATAATTATGGGTAGAAAGCAAATCAAAGCGATGATTTAATTACACTTAGTTCAATTAATAAATTACCTAAGACATTTAATTAACAATTTTAACAAAAAAAGTTTAATTGTAAAATGTTAGTCATAATGACAGTACAAGGTAATTGACAGTAAACTTTTTAAAGTGACAGAAAAATACTGTCCGAAATTGTAATTCCGCAACTGTACGTACAACCACGTGCTGTTAAGAGCCAAAAAGCCCACGTGAGGATTAAACTACATCCTCGGTCGTTATGGCCTTCTTAACAGCCCTAAATACGTAAATAACTACATATAATACTTTGTGGAAAAAAGTTTGGTAAATTGAAAAATCAATGTTATACAGGGTTATTCATAAATATGAAGCAATATTTGAACCTCAAAAATGACCTATAAAATGATGTTAATTTAAATAATAATTCGTGTTCTATCTCTACTGATAAGAATTTTACAGCCCTCGGAATGTGGGTATGGAAATTTGATTTTTTTGTAATAACTTTGGAACTATTTGACCAAATATTATAAAATTTGGAATTTTTTCCTGTGACAACATACCCTTTGAACTGGTAATCACGAAAACCGGATACATCCACTCAATTTCCGGTTCCAGCAGTTGCAGGTCACATTTTCTGTGTTTTTCCATTTTTTTGCTCTCTTAACACCAATTTTTTATTGCCCAAATCGATAGAGTAATCAATTTCGATTAAAAAACGCATAACCTTTAATACCCCTAAAATGGACCGTTTCAAAGATATTTTAATTTAAACTGAGGACTGCACAACGCTGAAACCAAAAAGTAGGGATTTTGAATGGATGATATCCACGGTAACAAATGACCATGGTTTTACTAATCGCTGTCAGGCATCTGTCAACTTTGACATTGGACGATTATTAGACAATTAATCGAAAATATTTAATAAAAGAGTTTACCTCAGATTCCAAACATAACTTAGAATAAATCCAAATGGATCACGTAGCATTTAATTCATAAAAAATTCACAAAAATTTATCGTCAAAGTTAACAGATGCCTGGCAGGGATTTATGTGACCATGGTCATTGGTTGCCGTGGATACCATTTATTCAAAATCCNATTCAAAATCCATATTTTTCATTTTCAGCGTTGTGCAGTCCTCAGTTTAAATTAAAATATCTTTGAAACGGTCCATTTTAGGAGTATTAAAGGTTATGCGTTTTTTAATCGAAATTGATTACTCTATCTATTTGGGCAATAAAAAATTGGTGTTAAGAGAGCAAAAAAATTGAAAAACACAGAAAATGTGACCTGGAACTTCTGGAACCGGAAAATAAGTGGATGTATCCGGTTTTCGTGATTACCAGTTCAAAGGGTATGTTGTCACAGGGAAATGTTCCAAATTTTATAATATTTGGTCAAATAGTTCCAAAGTTATTACAAAAAAATCAAATTTCCATACCCACATTCCGAGGGCTGTAAAATTCTTATCAGTGGAGAGAGAGAGAGTGTATACAGGATTATTCATAAATATGAAGCAATGTTTGAACAAAATGACCTATAAAATGATGTTAATTTAAAGAATAACTCGTGTCCTATCTCTACTGATAAGAATTTTACAGCCCTCGGAATATGGGTATGGAAATTTGATTTTTTTGTAATAACTTTGGAACTATTTCACCAAAAATTATAAAATTTGGAACATTTCCCTGTGACAACATTTTCTTTGAACTGGTAATCACGAAAACGGGATACATCCACTCAATTTCCGGTTCCAGCAGTTGCAGGTCACATTTTCTGCGTTTTTCCATTTTTTTGCTCTCTTAACACCAATTTTTTATTGCCCAAATCTATAGAGTAATCAATTTTGAATAAAAAACGCATAACCTTTAATACCCCTAAAATGGACCGTTTCAAAGATATTTTAATTTAAACTGAGGAATGCACAACGCTGAAATCAAAAAATAGGGATTTTGAATAAGTGGTATCCACGGCAACCAATGACCATGGTCACATAAATCCCTGCCAGGCATCTGTTAACTTTGACGATAAATTGTTGTGATTTTTTTATGAATTACATGCTACGAGATCCATTTGGATTTATTTTAAGTTATGTTTGGAATCTGAGGTAAACTCTTTTATTAAATATTTTCGATTAATTATCTAATAATCGTACAATGTCAAAGTTGACAGGGATTTATGTGACCATGGTCATTGGTTGCCGTGGATACCATTTATTCAAAATCCCTATTTTTTGATTTCAGCGTTGTGCAGTCCTCAGTTTAAATTAAAATATCTTTGAAACGGTCCATTTTAGGGGTATTAAAGGTTATGCGTTTTTTAATCGAAATTGATTACTCTATCGATTTGGGTAATAAAAAATTGGTGTTAAGAGAGCAAAAAAATGGAAAAACACAGAAAATGTGACCTGCAACTGCTGGAACCGG